CATTGGTAGCGAAAAGGGATTAGCCAAAAGCAAAGGTTATAAGATTTCTTCTTTTTTTGCTATGTCAAATTCTTGTATCTTAGGAGGTTCGTAAGATGTAAAAAGATTTTTTCGTTGGAGTGGTCGTTATGAAATATAGCTTGTAGTTTTAATTGCTGCTGCATTTGCAAGAGTGTGTAAAGGTTCTACAAGGACGAAACCTGCCATGACCATATGCTCATAACCGACTGAAATTGAAAATAGTGTTCAACAACATGCTAGTGGATAAACCTTTCTAAAATTGTAATACATATGACCTCCAAACACACTTTGATTATTTTTTAATCAAAATTTGAATCCTCGTCAATGTCATCATTCTGGCATCTATCTTCTTTCTTTTTTTAAACTTTCTTGTCTGTGCATTTATTACAGCTAGATTTCTTATTTTTTGATGGATTGAGTAGATGTCGAAGCCCGCCGTTCGTAACCGACACGTCACCATATTCGTGTAATATTCAACGAATCAATCAACGTCAAATAATTGATTCATCATCCCTCTATAAATAATTATTTCACATTTTAACAAACCTGCGTTCGTTTCCATCACGAATGAACATTTAGTAGGTATCTTAGATGTTCGTTTTGATTATTTTCGTACACATTTCTTTTCCCCTGTTCAATACTGATAAAATGTTCAAGTTGTCTTTATCAAAGCCCTATATAATTTTCATATTTTCTTCATGCCGGAGAGAGAGAGAGGTGGAGAAATAGAGAATATGATAATGACAATTATTGTGTACAACTATGAATTGCATTTTTTTCAATATGATATAATTCGCTGCCAATACTCAGAATCTAAATATGATAAATCCACATAATACACCAACGCTGTTAACCGCATCCATCAATCCAACGATAGCTCAAGTGCCAAAAACACCATGATGATCAAATATGGAGAGGGAAAAAATGAAATTTGAACAAAAATTAATGCACTATGCCGTGAGAGGCTTCAGTTGAAATCATAAATTCTCTGTGACGAGCTTAGCACTAGTTTTTGAGGGACCTATCACTGAAGATCCATAATTTTACAGGTGCCTCGAACACTATAAATTGGATGGTACATTTGATTTATATCCTTCATCAAGAAATGAAAAACTAAGAATGTAAACTATAAAGAAATAAATCGGAAACCAATTATCAATTCACACCTTTGTCCAAAATACACACAATTCCCCTCCCACCACTACAGGGAAATGTTGTCAACCGTGGACCATTTTTAGTACTTGTGTGTGTGTGCGTAGGTAATCACCAGCAACCGCGGACCACTCCATAGAAAACTACATCAAACCGCGGACGTACCTCCTATGGGATGATACACGTAGCGAGCGCCTCTCCCGCGCAGTCGAAAGGGGGCGCTGTGACATTTCGCAATACACATCGGACTGATCCAGTCGATGTTGCCTACACGCTGTGACATCTAATATTCAAACGCCCCTTACGTCGTAAATTTAATACGGCGGAACCGGTATCGCAACCGTGGACGGTCCCCCATCGCAGGTACGTCTGCGGTTTGAGGTAGTTTTCTATGGAGTGGTCCGTGATTGCTGGCGTTTTCCTACGCACTCACCCCCTTCCCCCTCCACATACACACACGCTGTGCCTGCAAAGAGAGTTATCCATTCCACAGTGGCTGTGTGTTTTTTTTTATTGGGGGGGGGGGGGGTGATTTTGTTGATGTTATGATTGATTTGAAAATTATTTTTTTTAAATACTTTTTCCCTCAACAAACAAAATCGAAAACATTAATTGCATAATTAAGTTACAACTTACAAGATAGTGTAAAATTATATTACATGAAACTTAATACAATTAGCCTTTACTTCTAACCTCGTCAATACAATATATGAAAGTAATAGCTTATAACAACTGTATATTTGATACATGTGTAACAGGTCAAAATTGTATTGTTTTATACTGAAATTTCAGGTACGTAACTGGGATTTGGCTGGAATTACTGTTGGACTTAGCCGGGATAGAGTACTTAATGTTTATTCCGAAACCTCAACATGAGACCGGAATCATGCATGGAAGAAATACTAGGGCGACTTCTAGGACAGTAGGGTTTATCTCTTTACCTTTGTTTTTCTGTTAACCTAACGGAGAGGCCGGGGAGGGCATATTGGTAGCGAAAAAGGATTAGCCAAAAGCAAAGGTTATAAGATTTCTTTGTATTTTGCTATGTCGACTTCTCGTATCTAAGGAGGTTCCTAAAATGTGAAAGGAATGTCCGTGGGGGCATAGTCGTTATAAAATAAAGTTTGTAGTTTTACTGCTGCTGCATTTGCAAGAGTGTGTAGAGGCTGTAAAAGTACTAAACCTGCCATGACCATTATGCTCATAACCGACTGAAATTGAAAATAGTGTTCAACAACATGCTGGTGGATAAACCTTTCTAAAATTGTAATACATATGACCTCCGAACACAGTTTGATTAGATCTAGATTAACGGTGTGCGCTAGCTAGGCTAGCACTGCACTGGCAATGTATTTTATAGGCCAATGCAAGGCGCAGGCTAGGAGTCATCATCGTAGTTGGACAGCGCGCTAGGCTAGCGCAGCTCAGGGCACTTTTATGGAACAAAATTGAACGTTAAACATCATCTCATTCTATTTGGGTTATCTCTTACGAGGCTATATGTTTCACAGATATGAATATATATACTTACGCTACTGATTCTTAGATAATAGAACGAAATTTTGACAGAAGAAACTCCAAAGCATCCGAGTCCGGATCCACAACACTACTTCAACATCTTAGAAAGATATCGATAACTCTTCGACGAGCTGGATCGATAACTACATGAATGCAGATGTGTCGTCTGGTTCTTTAATGTCTGAGCCCCTGGCAAAAAAAAACCCCGATGGTAATCACAATTTTACCCTTTTTTTTTTGCTTAAGGGGGAAGAGGGGGGTGTTGAGTAGAAAATAAGAAAAAAGGGATTTTATTTTTTAGTGCTCAGTATATTTTGACGAGTTCCACCCCTCTCACTCTCTCTCTCTCTCTCTCTCTCTTTCACTCCCCCACACTGCCGACACTGGTACAGCCAAAGAGGAGCGCGTGAGCAGGAAACCCTCTCCTGAGCGAGTATGTTTTAAAGTCTCATTGCACGGTGCAAAATCACCACCTTATTCTAAAGCCAGATCTTATCTAGTATACTTGGATGATGCAATTTATTTCTAAATTAAAATAGGTTATTTCCTATTTTTCTTGCTCAATTCGCTCACTAGCTCGCAGAATTTAGAATAGTGTAACTGTTTCATCGATATCGCGGCAAAAACTCATGATTCAGGGATTCAGCCTCAACTACTGTATTGCAGCAAGTTTGGCTCGACAAAAATCATCATTGCCCATGCATCAACGCTCCCCTCCCCTAGTATACCTCAACTGCGCACCCCCCCCCCCCACCTTAAGAAAAAATTCATGTAAAAACACGGGATTTTTACCTTTTTTGGAGGTTGCCCCCCCCCCCCCCCCTTGACCGCCAGGGGTGGGGGGGGGGGTGCAATTTTTTTAATTCCCGAGGACTCCCCTCAAAAAAAAAATGTGCTCACTACCCCCCTCCCCCCCCCCAACTGAAATTACCGTTCTGCATTAAAACGACAAAGTAGGAATAAATGCAGTACAAACAATATTATTGCGTACAATGTTTAGTTATTAAGAATAATATAAAATGATTTATTACTTCTGAATACGATAATTATTACATTTCATCAGACAACTTTTTTAAACTTAAAAAAGAGAAGCAACTTTTGAAAGAATTACATGTTTTATAACGCTGAAAAGTTTTGTTATAATTCAATACCTCAGCGCTGATATATACAGTACCTCCACCCAAAATAAATTGAACGTAAGTCAATACATAATTATGGAAAGATAATCTGTGTGTATATACACCATAATACACCATAATAATAAAAATAATAATAAAGCTGTGCAATATTCTGGAGCAAACGAATAAAACCTTTTTTTTTTCTTCTTCACATAATACCCATAACCCAGTCATAACTATCAAATATAGCATTAAGTATTTGAACTGTACATTATAAGATACGTACACATTCTATACTGTGCTTATGCAACCCGCTATACTCCCTCCTCCCTCCCTCCATGGGCGTCAATCCTTACGTAATACCTATTCAAGGGGGGATGAGTGAATAGATCATCCCCCCCCCGAACAATAGGTACCCATTACAGATTTACGCCCATGCTTCCCTCCATCTATCTTTCTATCTCTCCCTCTCCTTATATATATCTGTTCATCTATCTCTATTTCTCTTCCTATCTCTCTCTCTCTCTCTTTCTCTCTCTCTCTCTCTCTTGTGTCCATATCGAATCCATTTCTTTTCTTTCCCTATCACACTGTTACATCTCATTCATCCTCTCATTCTCTCTCTATAAGTGCCCCCCAAAATATAGCAAAATTGGAAGCACAGTTAATGAGGAAATACATTCAATGCACCTGAATGATCGGCCGGGGGGAAGGAACACTCCCCACCTTCTCCTTTTCGCCATTTTAGGATAATTCCAAGGCAAGGCGCTTCACAATAATTCATACCCATTTCCACCATACAGCGGCTGTGTCTTTCACGATGTGTATAGGCCCCTAATTGCGCGACATGGACCCCGTTTTATATCTCTTAATAACACAGTATTGTGTTTAATTTTAGGTTGGGTTTGATTTGATCTTAAACGCTCAAAGATTGTCTTACATAAAGGATGCATGTTTTCCCCAAAATAATTTTCATTTTTGCAACAATAACTTTCTACCAGGCGCTTACGCAGTAACCCCCCCCCCCCCATTATATATATTGTTTTATGCTCAAGGAGGCAAACAAAAAGTGTTCCTCCTCCCCCCCCCCCCCCCCCCCAGCCACTGAACGAAATATCTGACGACGTAATCTTCCAATTTCCGGGGCAAACAAAAAACAAAAAAAATGCTCCCCCCACCTTTTTTGGCATTTTCAACATCCACCCCCCTCCCGCCTTTGAACGACAAAAGCCAGGGCGGGGTAGGGCGGACCCGTCACCCCCCCTGGATTCGCCCATAATTCAAAGACATGTAGTATTATGAAGGGGTGACCAAAGTTCGCGAATATTTGTCTTTTCTTGCACATTTCAAAATATCCAGATCAACATAAATCATGTTCCATACGCCATAAGAATTATCGTAATTTATCATATAATCAGATTATATAACATTCCAAGGCTGTATTTACTTCAAACCAATGATAAGACGAGAATATCGGAAGGCTTTAATACCACTACCGACGTCTGTCAAAAAGTGTGACCTAAGTTCGCGCATGATATTAACTGCCCTCTTGTGATGGGCTTTATTATGTAAACATTCCAAAAAGGAACATAGTTTCATCAGAAGCCGAACTTTATATTGAAACTTTAAAAAAGTTAATAATTTCTTTCTATCATTGAAATTTTGCCCGAAAAAATATACCCTTGTTAAATTTTGCAAAAAAAAGACAATATTTTGTATTGTTTATTTGTTAATGACATTGTAGTCCCTATCTGCATGTCATTTATTTGTATAAAAAGCTTATCATACGTCTCTTTTTTATATGTCAGCCATACATGAGTTCTCGCTCTTTTCTCTCTTTGTCTCTCCACTTTCTCCTTTTAAATTTGTATTCTTACGAAACCCATAGATTCATTGAAATTGAAACATAGATACGGTGGAAGCAGGCGCGCAGGTTCTTTTTTTTTGTGCGTAGGAAATTGGAATTCTAGACGTTAATATCATTCTTTACAACACTGGCTACAGCTCACGACACAGACAATGACGGGCTGACATCCTTTCAGGGGGTTTATTTTATAGACGGATATTGTCGGTCTTAAGGCTATTGGTCTGCTGGATCGGGCATTGTAAAGACATCGTTGTTCACTCCGCCCGAGGCTTCGGGTTGGTTCATCACCGGCTCATCGGTATCTCCTCCATCAGTACTCTGAAGAAGAAGAAGAAGAAAAATATAATTGTAATCGTATTAGAACGCATTGACGCTCGTGTTTCTACGTGAGACATGAAAGAGCATCCCGGGCGCGTCATTTTTTTCTGCGGCACAGATTTTTTTTTTTTTTTTTTTTTTTTTTTTTTTTTTAAGAGGTCTTGATTTAACCCTAACCCCAACCCTAACCCTAAACTTTCCCATAGGCACATCACGCACCTAACCCTAATCTGTACCACAGAAGAAAAAAAAACGCATCCCGGGCTATCCACAGCATTTTTTAGAAGTCTGTAGCATCTAGGATAGTGGAGATAGGTAGGCCGAAAGATGGACATTGTGATGCAAAAGATATCATGTGATAATGTGGCATGGGCATTCCGCTCAACAAGTGGAAACCTTAGTCTGTTCTCAGACAGAAAGAAACTACTTTAAGTGACGATTGGGAAAGCGGGGGTGGCGGGGGTGGGAGGGGGGAGAGGTGACTTCAATATATTATATCAACTTCCATTGCATCTGAGGCCTTTTCCCACAATTCAATCATTTAAATCTACTACACATCTAGACAATTACAAAATTTGTGTTTGAAATGTAAACATTTTTTCTTATGCGGGGGGGGGGGGGGGGGGGGGGGGGGGGGGGGGGGGTTCAGGGTATGCCAGGCTCTGGTTTCCCAGTCACTATTTGATTATTTTTTGAATGTTTACGTTCGAATTGAATTGTAATACGTGTGTTTATTTCTTATAATCTAAATCTAAGAAATTGAGGGGAGAAAAAAGAATCCCCCCCCTGTTGAGCAAAACAAATATAGTGCTTACCCCCCCCCCCCTGTGCCCCCGGCTACGCCAGTGTTAAGTCGAAGACAAAATCATAACCCGACATTTGACGATTCTAGTAACCTCGCTCGCAGCTTTCTGCTCTAAATTGAAAACATTGTGTTATGGAACTGATTATGTATGTTCTTTTTCTTTGGTGTGTTTTTTTTTCTTCTTCTTTTTAGTTTGTATTATGTAAACGATATTGGTTTACTCATGGACCCTAGATTTTTTAACAAAAAAAAAGAGAGAGAGAAAAGAGAAAAGGAGTGACTTTGCCTGGAAACCACACAAATCCACGTTCGATCGCTATTAGTCGTACCATGATACGGACTGGCACACTTTTCTATAATGTCACAGTGTGGTAGATGAAAATTCCACACGGCTGGGCTTTTGTAACAAGGGTAAAAAAAAAGGAAAGAAAAACACGTTTGAAAGAAACATTCTGAAAAGACACGTACCTTGATTTAAATCATTTGTAATGATGTTCACGCTGCTAGGTTTTACATAAAAAAATAAGTCAATATTATGATCATTACTGATAGTAGCCTAGGGAGCGTGGGTGCTTTGTAGCTCAAAAACATGTTCGTCGAATAGATTCTTTAGAACAAAATTTCAATGGAAAACTATTTGGAGGATAAGCATGTTCGAATTTGGGTCTTACTTCGTACCGCTTTGATACAGAAATTCCTCGCTACAATAGTATCCGGAATAGTATACGAGAAAACTCAGACAGACATACTAAAGTGAAGAAAAAAATGGAAAAATATTATGGTTTCTGTTTTTGACACTTTACCTGATATTCAGGTTCACCATCTTAACCAGATTTTAGACAATATGTATCATAAGTATAATTCAGGAGAAAAGTGGAAACCCTAAAACGTAAACACTTATGCTTTTAGCTATGATATGCAAAACTTGACCCTAAGAGGGCTTTTAAACCATTCAGCTGATGTTGAATAAATTGAGAAAACCTGAAATTTACAGATTTTTTGTTGTTGCAGCGTTCTACATTAGTAAAAGAATATCAGATCCTATATGGGCATCAAGTATAATTATGGTGAAATACACGCGAGTCCGTATTTAAATACAGTTGTTGACACTTTTAATGATCACATTAGACTCCTCCGTCCCTGGTACAAAATATTACAGATATGTTTACCTATCAATTCACTTTTTATGAAATTGATTTAGGCTCTGGCATACACTTGGTCTGATACGCATCAAAACGCGTCATGCACAATAAGCCTAGGTTTGTCTATAAACCTTCTTTGTGAATTCGGGCCACAGAGTTTTATGGCACTTTTTAAAAACGCTTGGGCTAATTTATCCGAGGCAGAACAAATATGAATAAGATAAATTATATCATTAAAAAAAAAACCTCTACCATGAAATAGATTTATAGGTCACATTCATTTTGACAATGATGAGCTACTAAAGATATAGGTATCATTTTTTTCGATACGCACTGTATAATACTGCTAAGCTTCTCGGAGCAAAAGGCATTACAATCTTCACTAAAAAGATTGTCGACATTTCGAAAGAAAAAGAAAAAAATACATTGATGGCAATTGTTTGTTATGTTGGCCACACACACCAAGCTTACACAAAACAAATCTGGAGAGCGTGGGTGAGCGGCCCTCAACAGCGTAAGCGGAACAGATTGTAAAGGAGTACAAATACAATGGAACTGAGGGAGTTAAAAATCCTTGTATGTCTAAATTTGGGCATGTTTCTTCGTTTTGCTTCGATGCAAACATGGCTGGAAAAAGGGAACTGTGAACAAAAAGAATCTGACAAACCTAACATAACAGTATTGAAAAAATGATTCCAATAACTAGTCTACAGTCAATGACACTTTTGATTTTTAGAAAAGGTGATATTCACGCTCTCAGAACCCAATGGAGAAGATAACAGGTTATATTTATCCATTTTAACAATTATTCACCATAGGTTATACACTAAGACATCAAAACCGAAATTATGTGAGCAATGTGACATACCCGAACCCAAGCGGATTTTCTCTTATTTAGCTCACGTGGAGAATAATAGTAACCGAATAAATTATGTAGGGAATAAGAAAGTGTGTTAATTTGGGGACCATTAACTCATAACTTGGTCGTTTTTAATAGGCCAATGCCAAATATAACTAATAAAATAACTATTATAATTAGACCAATAGGCTGCACAAACATAATGGCAGAATTGCTTGCACTAGGCACAATTTTAATGGGCATGAACAATAACTGCTATTACGAATGCGTGCAAACAAGCAAAAAGCAGAGGAGCAGTAGCTTGCTCGCATGTAACAATAGCGTGCATGCAGCCTTATGGCAGGCTATGAGTTAAACAAAATCCTTGATTTAGCTCACGCTGCAATCATAAATATAAACCTTTAGGCCATTCAGGAATCATGACTTTTACAATCCGATCGCCTGTCTGATTATCAAGATACTTATGATTGAAAATCGAAATGTCATTTTGCGTTTTCCTAACTGTTTTCATAACACTACAGTCTATTGGGGAAATGAGCATGGTAAAACCGGTCACTCAAGGATTTTTACTTTTTTGAGGCACTTCATGATCAAATATAAAATGTTCATATGGTTGGGTGAAAATTTGGCCAAACTATTAGCCTGCAAGCTTGCAGGAAATATCCTCAAGGCCTCCAAACTTGGAATACATTTACACTGTGCTCCTGAAAGCTTCGCAAGCTTGCATGCAGGAAAATCATCTTGGACTGCAACAGAAAGAAAGCTATTTATAGAAACTTAGAGCGCGCTATTTACGTAGCTGCAGTGACTAATTACAACACTCCATTTTTGCATTGACGAATTTCGTCAATGCCTTGTTTCCGTTCGTTTTCTTCTTCTCCTCCTTCTTCTTCTTCTTTTTCTTTCTTCTTCTTCTCTTCTTTTTCTTTTTCTTCTTCTTCTTCTTCTTCTTCTTCCCTATAAAGAGGAAGAGGAAGAAGAAGAAGGAGAAGAAGAAGAGGAAGAGGCGGAGGAAGAGGAAGAGGAAGAAAAAGAAGAAGAGGAAGATGAAGAGGAAGAGGAAGAAGCAGAAGGAGAAGAAGAAGAAGAAAAAACAGAAGAAGAGGAAGAGGAAGAGGAAGAAGAAGAATAAGAAGAATAAGAAGAGGAAGAGGAAGAAGAAGAAGAAGAAGAAGAAGAATAAGAAGAGGAAGAGGAAGAAGAAGAAGAATAAGAAGAGGAAGAGGAAGAAGAAGAAGAAGAGAAGAAGAAGAAAGGAAGAGGAAGAGGAAGAGAGCAGGCAGAGGAAGAGAAGAAGCAGAAGAAAGAAGAAGCAGAAGAAGAAGAAGAAGAAGAAGAAAAGAAGAAGAAAAGAAGAAGAAGAAGAAGGAGGAGAAGAGAAACCGCAGCTACGCGGGTACGGAGGTAGGAGGGCGGACCCCTCCATTTAGATTGTGGAAGAGAAAAAATAATGACAAATGAAGATGAGAAAATGTAGAAAAAAGGAGAGGAGGAAACACAAGACATAAGCTAATAGGACACCCTCTCCCCCATATAAATAAATTACGAAATAAAACCCGAGCGCAAGTACTTTCGAAAGATTAAATCAAGGGCAGTTTGACTACCCTTTTATATTTACCTCCTACATATTCCAAGTTCGGAATACGGAATACGTCATTGTAATGTTTGCATATTTCTTAGGGACGTACAAGGCTACTATTCATTTACAAGTAAATGAATATTTTAAAACATAGATTAACAAATGAAAACATTCATACACATACAAAATTATTGAAAAAAATAGATAAAATAACCTAATAACAAAACGAATACAAATAAATAAAGGAATAAATGAATTTTAAAAAGAAAGAATGAAAGGAAAACAGAGAAAGAAATGAATAAATGAATAAAAGGTTAAGTAAATGAAACTTACTCCGCCATCTATGTTGGTGAGATCACCATCTTCATCATCTAAATCCGGCACACATTGCCTGAACCGCCCGCAACATCCCCAGAAACAAAAGAAACAACAGCAAACAACAACAACAACCTGTCGCAACGAAGCATATTATTGCCGTGATCTGGGTAGGATGTAAATTAGAGAAAACGATTTTAAAAAAGGGTTTTAAACATGAGAATTACCTCTTGATTACAGGGACTGCCATTATCAACAATCCCCAAATTGTGTATGTGCCCCCCCCCCTTCTACGATATTTTACTTCTCACCATAAGGCTCTTGATCTTTGTTTTGCTTTTTTAATTGCATTGTTTACATTGATTAAATGTTGTTGATATTGATTGTATAATTTAACTTCTTCAATTTCCACAATATCCCTTCCCCACCCACCACCGTCTCTCCCTCTCTCTCTCTCTCTCTCTCAGCTACATTTTAATTCATGCAAGTTATTTCGAAATCTATAGTGACACTCACATATCACTTTAAAATATGAAACACGTAATATTTTATACGCAGTTCTACTATCAATCTTGGATAATACTTTTAAAGAAATTTCTGAGCAATTGAGATCATGACATGACTATCGATTAAAATAAAGTTTGAAATAATATTTGTTTTTACTCTTTCTATCTCTCTCTCTCTCTCTCTTTCTCTCTCTCTCTTTCTATCTATCGCTCCCTCCCTCTTTCCATCTCTTTGGTTTACCATGAAGCATTTGCTGTCGATACAGGAGTCATTTTCTTCGTCGTCAGCATCCCCCCGAAGTTGTCGACTAGGTAGAGGCCTAGTGTTCCGTACTTATCATATACCTGTCTCTTATTCTCGTCCGTCAAGATCCTATGTGCACGGTTGATCTCTTTAAACTAAACCAAAGATGGCGAAAATGAAAGCAATCAAATATCGTATCAATAATGTTCGTGATGGAGTTACTATCAGCATGTCTGAAAAGAGAGAACCCCCCCCCCCCCCCCCCCCTATACAGATGAATGGAATGGTCTAGGACATGTATGAAATATATATCAGTGATGGATATGGATTACTCCATTCAGGCGCGTACACAGGGGGGGGGGGGGGGGGGGGGGGGGGGGTTTGGGGGGTTAACCCCCCCCCCGTTTTTTTGGTAATTTTTTGTGTGTAAACCCCCCCCCCCCCTAAATTTCTCTAAAACCCCCCCCCCCCTCCCCCCTTTTTATTTATTTATTTTATTTTTGTTTTATTAAAAAAAATATATATATATATATATATTCCCATGGTTGACCTAAAAAAGCTGACCTTGCCCCCCCCCCCCAACGGAGCAAAATATCAAATTTCCAAATTTTGAGACCAAAAACACACAAAAAAGTTTCCTCTTACCCCCCCCCCCCCCCCCCCCCCCCCCCCCCCCCCTTATTCAGCGGCTGGCTGGGCTGAGTCGTTGCGAAAAAAAAATTCGGCCCGATTTATAAATGTTAAACCCCCCCCCCCCCCCCACCCCTTGAAAAAATCCTGCGTACGCGCCTGACTCCATTTAACCTAGAGGGGTAAGGATTCATCACAATACAAGGTGATGTTCGTGATGGAGTTACTATCAGCATGTCTGAAAAGAGAGAACCCCTCCCCCTATTCAGATAATTGAATGGTCTAGGACATGTATCATGAAATATATATGAGTGATGGATATGGATTACTCCATTTAACCAAGAGGGGTAAGGATTCATCACAATTCAAGGTGATGTTCGTGAAGGAATTACTATCAGCAGTCTGAAGAGAACCCCCCCCCCCCCCCCTGTACTGTGTTTCATATATAGTGCGTCCCAGAAAAAACAAAACCGAGAATTATCGATGTTTAATCATAAGTTAATCACATTTAACTTTTAATAAATGACACATATTTGGAAAGCGAAGATCCTCCTCATTCATTTGATGCAACTCAATATGATGCATATTTCACGCCTGAGTGATTAAAATCAATTTGGAGAGAGGAAAACGAAAGGTCATTTGGCGGACGATATCTGAATTTCAAAGAGAAAATCACATTTCTAGAAAGTTGAGTTTCTGCCTTTTCACTTGACACCTCAATCAGGAAAAATGAGAACCATGCCCACCCACCCCCCCCCCCCCTCCGCGCACCTACAATTAAAGAGGGGGAATCGTTGACGCTGTATATATGTAGCGCTCGTCATGGGAATAGCATATCGCAGGCTTTCATGGTTTTCAAACATTGATTTCGCACCTCCATCCATTTCAGAACTTTCAGAACGGAAGGGAAAGGAGAAAAAGGAACCTGGAAATAAAAGATGATAACTACCTTCTCACTCCTGTTCCTTTCGGTATCCATTTTCATTTTTACTACATCCGTCTCCACCCTTCCCTCCCTCCCAACCCCCTACTTAATGCACCCACACCACACCATTGCCTGGCAACGTACTCTATCTCCTGCTGAGGGGTCGTCCCTGTTTTTATCTGGATGATGCCTCAAAGCTTCCTGTGTGTAAAAAAAGAGAAGAAAGACATACACTCCTATAAATATTGAGTAAAAAATTGCCCAGCACGAAGTTAATTATGAGTGTATCCATCCAACATTTGAGATACCCCCCCCCCCAACCTAAGATATTTTATATTGTCCGATTAGGGTTAAATTATAGAATAACAAGTCAACGCACAGCGTAGCATCCCCTCGCAGGGTACAAGTGGTCTATAAACATCAGAACAAGTTACCTTCATTGGACTGTACTATTATATGACGAGGCAAGGAAGTTAACCACCTTTTCACATATATAATTAGGTGTTTTGGCATATGTAATGAGCTATGACCTTTCACCTTTAACCTACATACTCAGAAATCGAACTAAAGCTGTACATGTATTTTGATACCATGTACCTTCATATTAAATTTTATTAAAATTCATAAAAAGTTACTCAAGTTATCGAATGGAAACCAGATTCGCATATTTAATGAGCTATGACCTTTGACCTTCATACTCCGAAATCGAACTCGGGCTTTGTTTTGATACCATGAACCTTCATATCAAATTTTCATTAAAATCCGTCAAACAACACTAAAGTTATGGATCGGAAACCAGATTCGCGTATTTAATGAGCTATGGCCTTTGACCTACATACTCGGAAAATGAACTTAGGCTGTGTTTTGATACCATGTACCCTCATATCAAATTTCATTCGAATCCGTCAAACAATACTAAAGTTATCGATCGGAAACCATATGAGTATTTTTTGTCGCATATTTAATGAGCTATGACCTTTGACCTTTGACCTACGTACTCCAAAAGCGAACTTAGCCTGTATTTTGATACCATGTTACCTCTATATCAAATATCATTAAAATCCGTCAAACATTACTGAAGTTATCGATCGGAAACCAAATTTGTTACGGACGGACGCACGCACGCACAGAAGGAAGGACGGACGAACGGCAGCGTTTCTATTTCCCCTCCGACTTCGTCGGCGAGGGGATAATAACTTCAAACTGGGCGACATATCAACTGAGTCGGGTTAAACAAAACTAAGGCGCAAAGGGTGGATACACCAGGCGCGTACGAAGGAAGGGGTGGGGGGTTAACACCCCCCCCCCTCAATTTTTTTTTTTAAATTGAAACTTATTATGATATTTTTTGGTGCTGAAGGAGGCAAAAAATAAAGTGTTCCCCCCCCCCCCCCCCCCCCTCCGCCAAGCCACTGATTGAAATCTCTGACGATGTAATTTTCCGGGACCAAAAGAAAAAAAGAGTGTGCTCTGGACCCCCCCCCCCCCACCTATATATATTTTTCTGTTTTTTCTTATCTCTCTTCCTCCCCCCCCCCCCTACTTTCATATGTTTGTCTTTCTCTCACCTTTCTGTATGCTTTCTTTATTTCTTCCTCTGATGCTCCCTTATTCAAGTTGAGCTTAGCATAAAGCGACTCCCCAGATACACTGAAAATGACATTTAGATCTAGGTAAATCAATCAATAAATAGGTAATTGAATAATTCAATTATGCATTTATTTCATAATCAAAATAGACACTGGTACAAATAAATTGTAATTATTCAGAAATATATCACAATATTGCATACTTGGCCCAGGACAATGGATTTGCCAAAACAGGGCATAAATATATACATCAAACACACCAGCGTACTATATGAGATAATTAACATTAAGGAATATATTAATCAAAATGGAGAAAAACATAGTATCGTTTTTATGACTATAAGAGAATGATGTGTTAGAAATAGCTGTTAAGTAAATATATTGATTCATTAATTTACAAAGAATAATCAAATTATATATACATTTATACATAAATTAATCAATTATTATATATTACTAACTACATAAGATTAGACATTTTCTACATGTAAATGATTTGTAGAGAAGCAACTCCTTTCAACGGATGATCGCAATGGGCACAAATTTTTTCGAGCAAACACACCCACACACACGAATACTACATAGACATTCAAATACCAAACTGATTTTTGTTTTTTTTAAAAGGATGAATTTTAGAATGTTCTAAAAATAAAATTTGTATACCATTTCAAAGAGAAAGTGTCACTATTTCTTTTAATAGAATTGTAGTTGTGCAGGCCACCTCCATCTAAAAAAAGAGTCGGGCTGTATAGTGCCCCCCTCCCTTTATGGAATTACGCCGGTCATCTCAATATCCATGTGATAAAATACCAAAGTTAATCTGATAAATAGTTTGATTTGGGGGTTTGTATCGAGTTCATCATGTAGTGGCACCGTCAGTTACCTCTAGTCTTAATTAACGTGCGTGTACATTACTATAATGTCACTTTTTTCAAAATGTACGACTCAGGAGGGGCTCCTTTTTGGAAAAATATTATCCATAACATGTTTTCATTAGTTCCTAAAGGGAGAAGGCAATTTGGAGAAAAATAAAAAATAAATTATATTTTTGTACACGACCAACGGGAGAGTTGCTCATGACTACGTCACGATTCACTAACGAAACTGCCAGTTTGGGATACGCATATGATAATCTCATATTTTCAAATATTCATTACTCTGTTATTATTGTTTCAATGAACTTATTATTAGGGTTGTATTGCCATTTAAGGGTAACAACGGGATATGTGGAAATTGCCTATTAATGCATGTACTTTAAGTAGAATCAGAAAATGTCTATAATTAAAAATAAAAAAATTTGGTATTCATCTGGCTCATTCGGGTTTGTGGAGTGCCAAGGTATGTTTTCCTAATAAAGTGAAAACAAAATGTTACTGATAAAGCAACGTGATTGTATTGGCAAACAAATCCAAGTAAGTTAAGTTTACTAAATATAAACAAAGCAATAACCAGGCGGTTTCACATTATATTGCGAAACCAAATAAGTAGAAGTTGTGGATCGAGATTGACTCACCAAATAGAGAATAAAACAAAAACAATACCTCATCGATCGGATGTCCCAACCCAGTGTCGTCTTTTCTTTCCCCGACGTCGAGGACGGGTCACCTGTGTCATTTTCTGTCGCATTTTTCTCCGTTTCTTCGGGCGGACCCGCAGTATTGTTGCCGTCCCCACCGAGCCCCATACCTCCGTGGCGTTATAATTCCTAGTTTAACGTTATTCCAAAGAAGAATCCTGACTTATTATGACTGTTTCGCACATCGGACGGTCCAACAGAATGCATTTAACATGTATCTGCAGAATCCCGCGTTGTGGTCAAATCATATTATGTCTATCATACCCAGTGTTAATAATTGTTGCAAAAATCAATCCGTTCTGTCGAAATTTCTCCCTTCTCCACGTGAAGCCATTATTGCATTGACGCTCTTCGTCATTGCTTTATTTTCGTTCACCTTCTTTCCTATTCATATTTGCAATGACGCTCTTCCTCATTGCCCTGTTTTCGTTCACATTCTTTTCTATTCATATTTGTTATGACGCTATTCATATTTGCTATGACGCTCTTTCTCATTGCCCTGTTTTCGTTCACATTCTTTCCTATTCATATTTGTTATGACGCTCTTCCTCATTGCCCTGTTTTCGATCACCTTTTTCCTATTCATATTTGTTATGACGCTCTTCCTCATTGCCCTGTTTTCGATCATCTTTTTCCTATTCATATTTGCAATGACGCTCTTCCTCATTGCCCTGTTTTCGATCATCTTTTTCCTATTCATATTTGCAATGACGCTCTTCCTCATTGCCCTGTTTTCGATCATCTTTTTCCTATTCATATTTGCAATGACGCTCTTCCTCATTGCCCTGTTTTCGATCATCTTTTTCCTATTCATATTTGCAATGACGCTCTTCCTCATTGCCCTTTAAATGAAATAGAAATTCAAATTTAAATAATCAATCTACTGCACGATAAATAATCCAGAATGAATTATAGCCATGTTTTATCGACATACGATTCCCATAGAAGGTCTCAAGATTAGCTTTAACCCCAGATTTATTATTCTAGTTACCAAACCGAGCAAACGGTTGTCTTTTAGTTGGTTCTGAACCGCATCTACATAAAAGTGGACAAGTTATTTGTGCCTGGCTGGACAAAGAAGTTTTAAGTGATGGAGTCATATCTAGCTCATTTCCCTTTGAACCATTTTTTTTTTGCTCAAAAGGGGGGGGGGGGGTAAAAAAATAATGCTCATCAACCCATTCCAGTAGGTCCATGTAGGTCCATGTTCGTACTACGTAGAGTTTACTCTGTGTGTATGTGTGTGTGTGTGTGTGTGTGTGTGTGTGTGATGGATACTATATGCTGACGTCATGCGAGGATACGTTCGGTGATTGGACGATACCATTTCGGTAGAGAATTCCAGTCGAAAACAAGGGTTCACATAAGAAAACCAAACCAGATTACTAAAACCTACTTGGCTGGGCCACTCGCTCTGCCGTTCACTTGGGTTTTCGAGATTAGTCTCTTTTTTAGTCGATCGGCGTCTATCAGACATGAGGGTGCTAGTCGTAAATCGAATAGGCCTACCTTTTCAATCAAATTGGATTGGATTCATAAGCACTATCATTCATTCATTTTCATTTTTATTTTTTTCATTTCCAACAAAATACAATACATAATAACGAATACAATGTTAAATGTATACAAAACATAATTACATTGGTAATAAACAAATCTTAATAATAATTTATACATTTTAGGAAGACAAAAAAATGAATTTTAAAATTTAATTGCATTTATATTTTGAGGAAATGGAGAGGTCCACTGAAAAGCAAAGCTTGTAAATTGTGGACCCCTCAGATAATAATGAGTGTGAACAAAATATTGAATACATAATCAATGAAAAAAGAATAGTGGCCAACAGAGAACATTTATTAAAACACGTAATTACTGTAAACAGGAAGACGTAACAAATTACATGACGGAGAAAGAACAGAAAAAAAGAAGGAAAAAAAGGGGGGGAAGGAAAAAATGCGGGCTGCGTTTGGAGGGAAGGAGAGTGAGAGAAAAAGAAAGTTGTAGAGATCGAGCACGAAATAGGGAGCGCACAAAATCCTTGAGATAGCTGAAACAAAAAGAGCAAGAACATGATGGCAAGTAGTTTTTTGTTTTGAGATGGGCTGAAGAAAGGAGGGAAAGAAAACAAAATTGGGAAGGAGTTGTTCTATCACAATACATTTCTAAATATTGTAAGATCGTAATAAGGAAAATTTTAACTTTTTTTAAAAGCAATTAGTGAAGGGGAAGTTTTCAAATCGTTGTGCAAAGTATTCCAAAATTTAGGGCCTTCAAAAATGAGCGTGTTCTGTGCAGAACATGTTCTCAAAAGAGGTAAGTGAAACTCATCGGATTGTCGAGTGGGATATCTATGAACAGCATGGTTTTTAAAAAACATATCATTAAACACAGAGGGCAGTATACCTTTATTGTAATTAAACATAATTGACCGAGCTGAAATAAGTACAAATCCTTAATTTTTCAGATGTTATTTTCAAAAAACAGAGGATCCGTATGGGAGCGTATGGGGGCATTGCAGATAATACGAATAACTCTCTTTTGCAGCAATAGAACTCTTTCCAACAATGTATGATGTGTATTGCCCCAAACTAGAAGACCGTAATTCAAATATGGCAAGATCAATGAAGAATACAGCATAAATAATGATGATTGTGGTAAGTACAATTTTAGTCTATTAATAACACCAATATTGCGCGAAATGATTTTACAAATATTATCAATGTGTGGTTTCCAAGAAAGTTTATCATCGACTGTTATACCCAAGAATTTGGTAAGAGGAACATGTTTCAAAGGGGTATTGTCAAAAATAATGTCAGAGGGTAATGAATCCAAAGAGTTACTAAATAGCATCACTATTGTTGATCTACTAAATTAAAATGGCAATCTCAAGCTCTAACGTGTGGTCTTGGGGCTACGTGCTTGTTCTTAGCAAGTTCATGGTACATTGATTCTGGGATCGCTAAATCTTTTGGTGTTCTTATTCCTACAATGGTTGAGCGTCTTGAGTCAGATTACGCTACTGTCGGATTAATATGTAGCCTGCCTGCAACACTTATGTTCCTCTTATGTAAGTAACATTGTGATATACACACATTTTCTGGTAGGAGTTAAAGTAATGGTAGCTAGTAGTAGTTTGTTTGTTTGTTTTACCTGACTGCTAAGAAACTTGTATATAAAGATGTAAAACATCAACAACAATGGTAATAATAATAACACTAATAATGATAATAATCATCATCATTGGTCAACATCAACCGCAGCATCAAACTAGTTTTTGCAGTTGTTGTTGTTGCTACTGCTGCTCTCTTTGTAGGCCTATATTAACAGTAGGTCTATGAAAATGACTTCAAATTTGTACTTCACGTAATAAAAGACATGACGAATTATATATTGGTATAATTTGCTAACTATCAGGTACCCACTACATTTTCTTTGGAGGAGAGTGGCAAATGTAAATTGATATCTTGCCATAGGACGTTATCAAAAGGGATAGTTTCTTTGACATTTCTAGTGCCCTTTTAGGAACTAAACATATAGCTCCGATTAGTCTCATTTGACAACGACCCCTATCGTCAGAGTCCAGCAGCCTAACATTTTAGACTATGGACTTTTAACCCCCAAATCGTTAACAATTCATTTTTTGTTTAAACGAAAAGCACATCCACCCCGACATACGTTGACACTAGCTCTTTCATTGAAACCCTCATGTCCCATTGACTTTTGAAAGTTCACCCACCGTAATTTGATCAAAGTGGGTCGCCAGCTTGCCATTGCCTATATAACGCACGTGTAACAAGTCGAACTGTGGACGCAATTTACCACGCGATTGTAAAATTATAGGTCAAGCACACGAAGGATAACAAGCATGAATTATCATAGATCAGTTCTTATAGTTTCATTATGTCCATTTCAGCCAACCCCCACTGTAATTTTTCCATTTCCATGTCCCCTAGGACGCTACCCCCTAGGACAACTACCCCCTGGGACAACTGACCCAAGGCAACTACCACCAGGACAACTACCCCCTAGGACACTACCCCCTAGGAGAACTACCCCTAGGACAACTAACCCCTGAAAACTACCACCCGGACAACTACCCCCTGGACAACTACCCCTTATGAAAACCATCCTCTAGGGCAACTACCCCCGGACAACTACCCCCTAGGAGAACTACCCCCTAGTACAACTAACCTCTGACAACTACCACCCAGACAACTACCCCCTAGGACAACTACGGCCAGGAAAATTTCCCCTCGACAACCAGTTCCCACTTAATTTCATACATTCAAACAAATTGACATGAAGTGCTCACTTTCTGCTTTTGTCTGGGTTAATAGTAATCACATTTTTTGTACCATTCATTGTAAAATAATAAACATATGGAAATATGAAGTAATAAACTGAAACTAATTACCATTAAAAGTATTGTTGTTATTATCATTATTGGTTGGTTGTATTTCCCGCAGGTGTTGGTTTATCTATGACCTACATGCCCACAATGCTTGCACTTAATGACTTCTTCCAAGAAAAATTCGTATTGATGAACACAATTGCGGCATACGGCTACACCGTCGGGTCCATGCTGCTCACTGTTATAATTATTATTTTTGTTATTCCCTCCCCAATCCTATAGTTTCCTTTTCTTTAATTAGATGATCTGCTGCAAAGCGTGGCAGAGAAAAATTCCGGATGTTTGTATGCGTATCATTAGTTAGAACCTAAATCAAGAATATGTTGTTTGTTTAGATTTCCGTTTATAATAAATATTTGAATTTCATTAAAAATCTGGCCGCAGGATTATCGTAGAGTGTGTGGCAGGCTTTACTCACTTAGCCTAATCATGTATTTGAAATAAACCGCCCTGATTCATTTATGCATATCTGTACAAAGTAGGAAGAATTGCGCTACAAGTACAAAGAACAGGTAATGACAAACTATATTATTGCATTCATGTTTATTTCTTAAGAATAATATAAAATGATTTATTACTGCTGAATACGATAATTAATAATTTCATCAGAACAAATTTAAAACTTGAAAAAGAGAAACAAACTTTTGACAGAACTACATGGTATAGCAATGTAAATTTGCATATAATTCAGTATATCCACCTTGGAAATCAGCACTGATACCTCACCCCAAATCAAAGTGAGCAGAAATCCATACAAACTGCTAAGATAATCTATGCGTATATACATCATAATAGCTGTGTAATATTCTTAGGCAAACAAGTTAAAATAAATGAATTTGATTTCTTTACAAACGTAGTCATATAAAGTGCAAGTTATTTTGGACTACATGTACATCACAAAATACTTGTTAACTCTAAGTTGTGCTTGTGTAACGCGAGCGATTTATCCCCCTCCTCCCTCTCCAACCCCCCCCCCCCCCTCCTCCCCCCCCCCCCAAATCCATCTCTCTCTCTCTCTCTCTCTTTCGTTTTTTCTCTCTTTCTCTCTCTCTCTCTCGTGTCTATATATTATATATGTTCTCGTTTCTTTGTTTTGCCCTATCATCTTGCTACATCATTCTTATACACCCTTTCATTCTCTCTAATTGAAAAGTTTAATCAAAAATGGAAGCTCAGTCAGTGAGGAAAAAAATATACATTAGGTCTACATCAATTTCTCTACTGCTATCTGCTGCTCAAAATGTCCCGGGCGCATTTTATTTTTTCGTACCACAGCGAGCCCAGATTCTAGTATGAACTCATTTCCATACATAACAAGCTACGAAAGCTTGCAAAGAGGTCACAAACAATTGGATTTTTTATTATTTATTGCTTTGCCTCACTATTTATAAAGGCAAAACAAAACTGAATAAAAACCGATAATAGAACCCTCAAGTCAACTCCAAAGTATATTGGTACGACATTGTCTTAACCGTTTGAGCTAACGATGGTTAAATGAAAGGTTGATTTGTATAATTAATATCACCCGGTTAATAACCCTACCGGATTCCATGTGCGCATGCGCAGGTTCCCTTTGCGAGCTCAATCTGGGCTCGCTATGGTACGAAAAAAATAAGACGCGTCGCGTCCCGGGCCCGTTGCATAAAAATACAATTGATGGTAGCTTTGCCATTAATGGCAACTTCCATTGAAAAAACCCGATTCGATTAGCTTTTGAGAGATGTTGACATGGTTGGTAGTTACTATATATAACAGGGTTAACATCAATAAATTGTATTAATTTCTATTAATGTGATCGCGATCACCGAAAGATGGCGGAATTTAAAAAACATAAAGTAGCTGTAGCGATGTCGGTAAAATACCCCGGCTGTAAGGGGTCTGAATATTGCAGATATGGCATATTAACTATCCGGACATCATTTCAATCATACTACTGGATATTGAAATTATTCAAAATGTTGTTTCTTGAGAATCTTTGATATCATATTGTCTTTAAAACTAGCTACAGCTCATGAGACCAACAATGGCCTGCTGTCAACCTTCCATCGGGTTCACTAGACGGATATCGTCGGCCTCGGAGGGTGTCGGTCTCACGGGCTGTTGGTCGGCTGCTTACATGTCCATATACTAGTTATGGTTTGGGCATTGCAAAGACTTCGTTGTTCACTCCACCCGAGGCTTCGGGTTGGTTCCTCACTGGCTCCTTGGTATCTCCTCCATCAGTACTCTAAGGAAGAAGAAGAAAAAGAAGAAAAAAGAAAAAGAAAGAAAAAGAAAAAGCAGAAGAAGAGAGAAAATGGAGTGTTTTAATTAGTTAACATGCCCATCATGGAGGTACGGGGGTAAAGACCCCTCCCCCCTTCCCCGCCTCTCTCTCTCTGTCTATTTATTTTTATTTCGGATATTCATACAAATAAATAATAAATAACATTTTCCACCAAAATGTAAACAAATGAATGAGAACGTTAGTAAGTAAAAGAATAAATAATTAACTAATTAATTAATTACAAGATAAAACGAATCAAATAAATCAAAAATAAGTACTTAAAACTTAATAAATAGGTGAATTAATTGTCAAATAAATAATTATAAAAATGAAAAATGGACAAATGAATAACAAATAAATGAATATGTAAAAAAGCAAGTAAAAAAATATGAATGACTTAATAAATTAATAAATTAATTAATGAATGAATTGATAAATAAATTGTTTATTTAACAGATAAAGCAACAAATTAATAAAAAAAAAATAAGTAAATGAAACTTACTCCACTTTCTATGTCGGAGAGATCACCATCTTCCTCATCTGATTTTGATTTACTGCACAGCCCGCAGCATCCACAGAAACAACAGAAACAACAACAACAGCAACAACAACCCGTCGCAATGAAGCATATTATTGATGTGATCTGTGTAGGAGAGAAACGAGGAGAAATTGTTATATGATTTTTGTTAAATTATAAAGATTTATTCAAAATCACAGGGGACTGCCATTTTCTACAATCCTCAGTTTGTGCGCCCCCCCCCCCGATACTTGTTTGTCACCTTTTTGCTCCAGAACTCTGTTTTGTTTTATCTTTACTTACGAATGCAATAATATTTTTAATATATATCTTAATTTAACTTCTTTCTTCAGAACCTTCAATTTTGTTTTATCCCTGAAATTCAATTCCCATCCAACCACTGTCTCTTTCTCTCTCTCTCTCTCTCTCTCTCTCTCTATCTCTCTTTCTCTCTCTCTCTTTCTCTCTCTCTCTATCTCTCTATCTCTCACACACACACACACACACACTCTCTCTCTCTCTATGCTACACCATAGATTATATTCTCCCACATACTTCTTCACCTACAGAGGGTTTTATAGATGGCACCCATTTATCATTAAAAAAAAGATGGAACCCGTAATTTTCCATACGCATTTTTGTTATCGCTCTTTTTTGTTTTACATATATTATTCAATAAACTTCTAAGCAAATCTGAGAACACAATCATGTATAACTTGTTGATAATTTGAAATAATGTATTCGCTCTGGTTTTACATATATTATTGGATGAACTTCTGAGCAATTCTGAGAACACAACCATGTACCCTTGTTGATAATTTGAAAAAATATATTAATTCATTTTTCTCTTTCTCGCTCCCCCCCCCCTCCTCTCTCTCTTTCTCTCTCTCTCTCGCTCTCTCCCTCTTTCTCTCTCTCTCTCTCTTTTCACTTGTCTCTTTCTCTCTTTCTCTCTCTCTCTCTCTTGCATTTGTCTCTTTGTCTCTTTGTCTCTTTCTCTCTCTCTCTTTCTCCCTCTCTCTCTCTCTCTCTCTTTTCTCTAACTTCCGTTTCTCTTTCTCTCTCTTTCTCTCACGTTCTCTCTCTATATATGTATATATATATATATATCTTTCTCCTCACACACACGCATATACATCACCCACTACCGATAGTTACCTTGAAGCATTTGCTGTTGAACATGAAGTAGAGTCCTACGTAGTCATCCCCTACGGTGTCGGCTATGTAGAGACCCAGTGATCCGTACTCGTCATAGATCTGTCTCTTCTTCTCGTCTGTCAATACTTTATGTGCACGGTTGATCTCTTTAAACTGAACGAAAGATGGCGAAAACAAAAAAACAATAAAATATTGTACCAATACTTATTATAATAAGGTACTGTGTTTCAACTAGTGCACCCTTTATCTTTGACTAACGAAACATACAAGCAACAACAAACAAAAAACAAACACAAATTACAGGGAGTATGAATAATTTACTTGCTTCGCAGAAAAACATCGTCAAACAAATTTGATTTTTAAAGAAATAAGGAAAGGTTGAAATAAAACAAAAATGAGGACGGTCCAGATTTTGTACACCTCCATCCTTTACAGAACTTTTAGATCTCCCCCTTATCGAATGGCAAAAGAAAGAGAAACAATTGAGATGGAGAGAGGAGAGAACGGAACCTGAAAAGAGGATGATCATAACTATCTCTCTAAATCCTCTCACTCCTCTTCCTTTCGGTAGCCATTTTAATTTGCATTTCATCCGTCTCTGCCCCTCCCCTCCCTCCCCAGCCCCTCCCCTTCTGGCTGCACCCACACTACTCCTTTGTCTGGCTACGTACCTTATCTTCTGCTGTAGGGTCGTCCCTATTTTTATCTGGATGATACCTCAATGCTTGCTGTGTGAGAAGAAAGAGAAAAAAAGATATAGTTACATTCTTATAAACATTGAGTAAAACATTTTGCACAGCACGAGGTTAATCATGATTGTAACTCACCAAATTTTGGCATTTCCTTTTCCCAACTGAAAGGTAATGCAAAGTTTTGAGAAATTTGAAAATAGGCTGGATAGTGGTTCTTTAAAATTTGGATATATTTGGATGCCCCTGTGGATGTATTATAAGCACTAGAAGATTTAGCTTTTGAGAAATTGAATATCATAACAATTTGAATATGTTAGTAAACCGTTATATTTGGTTTGAGATTAGGTTTAAATTTTAGGTTAGGATTAGGTATACTACTTTATTCCACCTTTCTTCATCCTTTTAATTTCTTATGATCGTGTCCCCATCACCCCCCCCCCCCTCTCTCTCTCTCTCTCTCTGTCATCCACTTTTTGCATACGTGTCTCTTTCTTTTTTGTTTGTGATATCGTTGTAATTTGTTTGACAGCAACTGTATTTTCTATGCGATACATCGTCGCTAGAAAATATAGTTTGTTAGCTTCCCACTTTTTATCACATAACAGGACATAAAGTGTTACAGGTGTTTAGGATTGACGAGCACGATAGAGAGTATCGCGCAGAGAAGCAATGTGGACTTTTCGATTTGCACGTCGACATAGTGGACTGCTACGTGTGACGTCCTTTTAAAGGTAATACAAAGTTTTGGTATGGGGTCATTACTTTAGTTCAAATGAACATATTGGAAGCATACGATCCTATAATATTCAGTGATCGTTGTCGCGGTTGAAATCGAGTCTTAAGTTATGATATTAAAAATAATAAAGTATTTATGTTGTATAGCTCCCTCTCAAGGTCAAGATATTAATTTAGCTTTAAAACAATGTTTCTTGACTTAAATCGACCGATTTGCTATTCCCGTTTGGAAATTATTTATCAGAACTGCATATCCTGATATTTTCGTGGTCGCAGCTACCATTGGATGGCCGTATAAGATATTTGAAATTTATCGAAATTTACCCGGGAGCACCGGTAAACTTTTATATTCAATTTTTCACGAAAGCAGAAGTGTTTTATGGGCTAATCTATATGCTTATCCTCAATGGCATCCAAATATATCAACATTCTAAAGAATCGCCATCCGGCCATTTTCCAAATTTCCCAAAACTGGCAATGCCTTAAAGCAGTCCACTATGTCGACGTGCAAATCGAAAAGTCCTTACTAGTATGCATGGGCGTGGCAGGGAAGACATAGCCTTGTCACACTCGTATCCTCTTAAAATCAAATAATTTCATTGCGGAGTAAACGCAATTTCAAATGTTTCAAAACCGGTGAAGCCAAATACGTTCAACTCTCAGAACAGTGTAACAAATTACCAAATTAAATGCCGCCAAAAATGATGTTGAAAATTTGCACTTTATCAAGCAACCAAATTGTCAAGCTGAGTTATGTAAGTGCAGTTTTGACATTATGATTTTTCCGGAGTTCTTTTTCTTATCAGTTTTTATCTCTGTTTTTTTTTAGCCTAGACTTCCTTTATAGGTCATGTACACCTTTTTGCGTACAGTGTTTGTTCGTTGCATGCATGTCAGACGAATCACCACATAAATACAGATTCATAGGAGGTAAAGAACATTACAAATAAAACTTAGCCGCCGTTCCTAGCCAATACTGACAGGCTATATTCTATCCATGTACCCTCTATCCCTCCCTGCCTTCCTCCCCCCTTCTATCTCTCTCTCTCTCTCTCTATCTCTCTCTTTCTACCTATCTATCTCTCTCATTTTCTTCGTCCCCCTACTTCCATATTTCTGTCTTTCTCTCACCTTTCTGTATGCTTTCTTTATTTCTTCCTCCGACCCTCCCTATTCTCTCTCGATCTCGCTCTCTCTTCTCTCTTTCCTCTCTCTCTCTCTCTCTCTCTCTCTCTCTCCACCCCTTCTCTCTCTGTCTCTCTATCTTTCTATCTCCTTTTCTTGCTTCTTCTTCTCTTCCTACTACCTACTTCTGTCTTTTTTTTTCTTTCTTACCTTTCTGTATGCTTTCTTTATTTCTTCCTCCGAAGCTCCCCTATTCAAGTTGAGCAGAGCATAAAGCGACTCCCCAGATACACTGAAAATGACATTTAGAAATAGACAAATTGATGAATAAATAGGTAAATGAATAATTCGATAATGCGTTTATTTCATAATCAAAATAGACAACGGTACAAATAGACCGTAATTATTCAGAAATATATCACAATATAGCATACATAGCCCAGGACAATGGATTTGCCAAAACAGGGCATGAAATATAAAACATGTAACATACCAATGTACAAATATTATGATATATAGTTCAATGAGAAAATGTATATGACATAGTTAACATTTACGGTTATATTAATCAAATGGAAATAGATTTAGTATAAATCTAATTTTTGTTATAAGGGAATGGCGTGTTAAAAACTGTTAAGATAATATATTAATTCATTAATTATTTGATGGATACAAATTATGATTAAAATAATAATAGATACATTAATCAATAAATTATTCAATTATTCAATCAATGACTAATTACATAATATCAAACATTTTCTACATGTTAATAATGTGGGGAGGAGCAATTCCATTCAACGGATGGTCGCAAGGAAGCACGAGACGTTCCGAGCAAACGCACACACACGCACACACTTAACAAATTGTATTCAAAAAGATAATTAATTTCAGGATGTTTTAAACATTTGTCTGTTATTTGTATGAGAAAGTGAAACTATTTTAAGAGTCACTAAAATTGATATAGTCGATATTTTCAACATCTTTTAGAAACGTTGTATTTCCTTCAAAAGGGGGGTTGAAGTTGCATAGGCCACCTTCACCTCCAAGGGTGTAGGGATGTATGTATACCGCCCCCTCCACCCTCCCCCTTCTCCCCTCCCCCCCCCCCCCCCCCCCCCGTTATGGAATTACGCCGGTCCCGTGAACATACCAACCGTTTTCGACACTACAATGACGTGATCTGTCAGCCTAGCAAAATATCCATGTATTTACTACTATCAGTTGATTAAATACCGAAGTCAATCTGATAAATAGTTGGACTTTGGAGTTCGTGTCGGGTTCATTCAATTATTGACACAGTTAAGCACCTCTTAACGTGTATGTTGGTACATGTATATATGCAGTTCTTTATTAAAGGAAAATCCATCTTCATTAGCAAACGGCTCTTAAAGCTTATCTGCCATAGTTTACATGAGGGATTAGAGCGCCCTGCAAGATCACTGGACAGGTGGCTATCTCATCAACTCAGCTCTCAGTTAACATAAGAAAAAGAGGATCATGGGGGACCAATGGTCACCGATTACGCATTGTTTGTTATATAGAGGGCGCAGGTAGCTACAAGTAGTGCAGTGGGCCTTTAAAGAAATCATATTATAAATGTAGACTGGTGGTCAATTTCTGAAATCTATGTAATCAATATGAATTTCAAATTTGTTGAATCATTAATCACTGTGAAGTATAATGACGGATAACTTTTCATTTTTCCAACACATAAAATGACTTAAGTCACTTGTCTCAAAATCTATCACTCAGGAGGGGCTTCTATTTTAAGAGGACCTATGGTAATATATTATCCATAACATGTTTTGAGTAGTTCCTAAAGGGTAAAGGCAATCGGGGAAAAAACAAAATAATGTTGCTCTTGTACACAACAAACGGGAGAGTTGTCCACGACTAAGTCACAATCCACTAACAACACACAGGTATAACAATCTCATATCATCACTGTATTATTATTGTTTCAATTTATTTCAAACTTTCGCCTTTCAGTTTCTCTTATTGTTCTGCTTTCATGCAAATGAAGTTATTATAAGGGTTGGATTGCCCTTTAAAGGTAAAGACCAGTATTGGAAACGCCCCAATTTCAAAAAATGAAATGGAAGCTCTCATTACCAATCATGTTAAAGAATATGTTTTGACTAATACATGATGATAACAAATTTGCCGGGAAACCGCCTACTAATTCATATATTTGGTAAATTTGTTTCTCTCATGGTCTGTGAGAGATATAGGGTAGTCCCATATACATCTTTCTGTGTATAGTGCTTGTAACTTTACGAAGAATGGGCTAAATTTCTTATCATTTTGATGATTCCAGAACCTTGCAGATGCTAGATGCTAGATGCTAAATGATCAACCTTTTCTGATCGATTCCACAACGTTTCTTTCACAATGCAATCGCATGACAATAACTGGTCTTTACCTTTAATAGCAAAAACGAGACATGTGGGTATTTGCTATTAGTGCATGTAGTTAAAGTTCAAGTATACATGAATATTAATTCATTAATTATTAATTGATGGATACAAAATATGATGAAATAATAGATAAATTAAGCAATAAATTATTCAATTATTCAATCAATGACTAATTAAATAATATCAAACATTTTCTACATGTTAATAATGTAGAGAGGAGCAATTCCATTCAACGGATGGTCGCAATGAGGCACGAGACGTTCCGAGCAAACGCACACACACACTTAACAAATTTTATTAAAAAAGATAATTAATTTCAAGATGTTTCAAACAATTTTCTGTTATTTGTATGTAAAAGTGACACTATTTTAAAAGTCATTAATATTGATTTAGTCGCAATTTTTATCATCTTTTAAAAACTGTTTTCCCCTTCAAAAATTGGGATATAGTTGCATAGGCCACCTCCACCTTCAAAAATGTAGGGATGTATGTATACCTCCCCCCCCCCGCCCCCCCCCCCCCCCCCCCCCCCCTGTTATGGAATTACGCCGGTCGTCTAGGTCATGCCCGTGAAAATACCTACCGTTTTATACATTACAATGACGTGATCTGTCAGCCTAGCAAAATATTTATGTATTTACTATTTATCAATTGATTAAATACCGAAGTCGATCTGATAAATAGTTGGACTTTGGAGTTTGTGTCGGGTTCATTCAATTATTGGCACAGTTCATTGTCTCTTAACGTGTACATTGTATGTTGACATAATATGCAATTCTTTATTAAAGGCAAATCCATCCTTATTTAGCAAACGGCTCTTAACGAAAGCATATTATAAGATGTAGACCGGTGGTCAATTTTTGACATCTATGCAAATTTTTGCAAATCACTATACTGTACGTATGTTAACTTCGAATTGGCTGAATCGGTAATGTCACTGTGAAGTAATACCGTATAACTTGTCATTTTTTCCAACACAGAAAATTATTTAAAGGTACTATGTCCCATTTGCACGCCAAAAAATGAAAAAGTTAAATTCCAACTGCATTTGAAAGATAATACCAATTTAGAAATTCCCTAAAAAAGGTGGGGCTAAAAAAGGTCTCCAAGTGAGAAAATAACGACTGTTAGTTGTCAAATCGACTTTAGGGCTATAGAGCCCAAAAGTAATAGTCTTAATTTTCAGACAATTGTACCGAATGGTCATACGTTTTATGCTGCGCAAAGATTCAATCAGTTCAATCTTGGCCATCACAAGAAGTGGGTTATTGATGTAGACAAATGCTCATGTACCCTTTACAACTCTTTTCAATGTATGTTATTATCAAAGAAGAAAAAAAGCCAGTCAGTCACTCAATAGTGTCTGACAGTGAAGTCTAGCAAGTAAACGGGTTTCCTTGCATAATTTGAATATGAGGACACTGCTAACGTTTAAATTTTACAGATAGGACATACATGACATATTCATAGTTCCTGCAAAGTTCTACAGCATTTGAGGTTGGCTGCAAAAGGGACATAGTACCTTTAACGTCACTTTTCTCAAAATCTATCACTCAGGAGGGGCTTCTATTTTTAGAGGACCTATGGTAATATATTATCCATAACATGTTTTGAGTAGTTCTTAAAGGGAGAAGGCAATCGGGGAAAAACCCAAAATTAATGTTGCTCTTGTACACAACAAACGGGAGAGTTGTCCACGACTACGTCACAATCCACTGACAAAACTCAAAATCTCATATCATCACTCTCTTTAATATTGTTTCAATATATTTCAAACTTTCGCCTTTCAGTTTCTCTTATTGTTCTGCTTTCATGCAAATAAACGTACAGTATTATAGTAAGGGTTGAATTACCCTTTAATAGCAAAACCGAGACGTGTGGGTATTTGCTATTAGTATTAGTTCATGTATAATGTACTCCAAGTTCAGGGATAGATGAAGGAAGTGACGGCAATTAAATAAAAGAGATTTGGTATGAACCAAAACTAAATTCGGAATCATTCGAGTTTTTGAAGTGCCTAAATACTTCTGCCTAATAAAGTAAAACAAACTTGTGACAGATAAAGAAACGTAATGGTATTCAATTTTCATGATGGTAATAGACCTCAAAATTTGCTGGAAGAATTCAAATGTTAAAATAAATCGGTAAACTGACATAATGAATGCAAGATATCTCCTTAAATTTATGCTGGGTATTGTAGAAAATATTGGCTGGTATCTTGTTTGGGATTATTGTCCTTATTATTATTATCAGGCAATTACCTGTTGAATTATTTTATTATTGGTAACATGGCAATAAATATAATGGTATTTTGTACCCCAAGTAGAGGAAGGTGTCTACAAAAAAATCAGACTTGCTACGAAACTGAATCATTCGAGATTCTGACTAGCCAAAATATATTTACCTAATAAGATATCACTTACCTAATAAGGTAAAACAAATGTAACGGATAAAGAAACGTAATGGTACCTGATGGCAAATAATAGACCTTAATATTCAAATAGCTGAAGTGTTGAAAGAATTCAGTATACACTGATATCTTCTTCTTCCTTCTTCCTTCTTCCTCCTTACTTCTTCCCCCTTACTTCTTCCCCCTTTTCCTTCTTCTTTTATCTGTTTTCCTTCTACTTGTCATGTTGTGGTTGTTTGTTGTTTTGTTATATTGTCTTGTGTTTTTCAAGTCCTCGTAGGCACAACAATTGAAAAAACAAAATTATTCTTTTCTGGGGGATCCACAAACTACTAGCACTGCTTTTTAGTGGATTCCCCCCCCCCCCCCCATTTTCTCAGAAATTAAGAATTTCTTGTAACAATTGTATTATGTGTTAAGTGTTTTTGTATGGTTACCAAGAAAAAATGAATTATGTACATACACTTTTGTTATACTTTCTGTAATAATATATGTAATACATTTTTTAAAATCTTTCTGTTGGAAATGAAATGAATATGAATTGAATGAATACAATTGATATAATGGAGGATAGATACATGAAATCTTCTGCTGGGTTGTAAAAATATTGACCGAAGTTTACTTAATATGGAAATGACAATAACCGGGAAGCTCCACATCTAATACTCAATAAGCTTGTTGTGGATATAATTATATCGAATAAATATGGATAACAAAGATAAAGTGTAATTTGGCCATTTAGCAGGTATGTGCTTTAAATATTATGTTTGACCGGTAATATAGATATATTTGTGTGTGTACATATTGTATGCATGTATGTTTATATTATGTGTATATATGTAAATATATATATATTGAGTAACAGATGATGACAGCATATTCTTCAATCAAGATCGACTTGCCAAAAAGAAAATAACAACAATACAATACCTCATTGATCGGGTGTCCGAACCCGCTGTCGTCTTTTCTTTCCCCGACGTCGGGTCACCTGTGTCATTTTCTGTCGTATTTCCCGCCGTTTCCTCGGGCGGACCCGCAGGGTTATTGCCGTCTCCACCAAGCCCCATATCTCCGTAGCGTTATATATATCCTACTTTCACGTTACTCCAATGTATAAATCGTGTCCTATACTTGTCTCAGTTTCGGACATCGGATGGTCCAATAGATTGCGATTTACTTGTAATTGCAGAATCCCTTGTTGTGGTTAAAATGGTGAATAAACCATACAAATCATGCCCAGTGTTAATAGTTGTTGCCAAAATCAAACCATTCTGTCGAAATGTTCTCTCTGAAATCTCCACGTGAAGATATAGTTGGAATGTAGGTGTGTCCCCTCCGGTATGCAGTATAGTAATCTAGTAAGTAAATGTGGCAATACATGCAACGATTATATAATATATCTACGCCTCCGTCGCTTGTACTGCTGATCGTACAACGTTGGGCGCATTAACTTATCACAGTCTGTACTTTGTACTTATGCGTAGTGAACTACATGTATATATTACTATACACATATACACGTAAAATGTATATACCACTGTGTATGCATAGTGTTGCTGTTGTAAAGTTGTAAAGCGTTCAGTTGTAAAGCGATATGACTGAGTGCACACGTTCTAAGGAAAGCGGGGAACCACCCTTGCTCGTCAACAGGGAGCAATAGAATCTATATACCCGTAGAAATAAAGGTAAATTCAATCAATACGTCTGTAAATAGGGCTATCGCTGATAACAAGTCTGCATTAACATCTTAGTCAGGTGGCTAAGCGTCAAATTTCTCGATTATCGTTACTTGCCGGATAAAAGCACAATTTTTGGTACAGGGCTTCCTAATTAGGACTTACTTAACGATATTAGGCTAGGAGCCTACGGCAACAAAATTAACTTAAGGGTGTGAGGGGCGGGGGCGTCTTTGTGGAGCCCCAAATAACTATATAACATTGATTTGTTGTTGTACAAATGCCATTTTTGGTACAGGGCTTCCTTAGGACCTACTAAACGATATTGGGGTGGGAGCCCCCAGCAAAAATATCATATAAGGGTGTGGGGCGGGGGCGTGACCTCGTAGCCCCCAAATAATTTAGAAGGTAATATAACATTTATTTGTTGTTGTACAAATGCCAATTTGGTACAGAGCTTCCTTAGGACCTACGGAACGATATTAGGGTAGGAGCCCCCGGTAAGAATATCATATATGGGTATGGGGCGGGGGCATCGCTTCGTAGCCCCCCAAATAATTTAGAAGGTAATATAACATTTATTTGTTGTTGTTACAATTGCCACTTTTGGTACAGGGCTTCCTTAGGACCTACTGAACGATATTAGGGTAGGAGCCCCCGGCAAGCTGAGAATATCATATAAGGGTGTGGGACAGGGGCGTCGCCTCGTAGTCCACACATAATGTGTGAGGTTATATAACATTGATTAGTTGTTGTACAAACGCCATGGGCCCCCAATCACCCGTATATGAATATGTATGCCGGGGGCTCCTACCTTACCATCATTCAGCAGGTCCGAACGAAGCCCTGTACCAAAAATGGCGTTTGTACAACAACAAATCAATGTTTTATTACCTTCTAAATTATTTGGGGGCTACGAAGCTACACACTCGCCCCACGCCCTTATATGATATTTTTGTCGGGGGCTCCTACCCTAATATCGTTCAGTAGGTCCTAAGGATGCCCTGTACCAAAATGGCATTTGTACAATAACAAATCGATGTTATATAATTATTTGGGGGCTCTAAAAGACGCCCCTGCCCCCACACCCTTAAATTGATTTTTTTGCCGGGGGCTCCTAGCCTAATATCGTTTAGTAGGTCCTAAGGGATCCCTGTACCAAAAATGGTGCTTTTGTCCGGTAGGTAACGATAATTTCACTAAACCACCTTATCTGGGGGGGGGGGGGTGCGTTTATAATCTCGAAAAGTATATGAATTGTTGCGATGAAAGAAAAATAGTGTGGAGGTAGCTTTTGACTTGTAATAGGGACTTTTAGATTTGCACAACGACAACGTGGATTGCTACGATCGACGTCATTTTAATGCACTGCCTTGAATGGACGTCACACGTATCAGTCCACGCAAATCTAAAAGTCCCTATTGATAAATATAACTTGGAACTATGTCCTAGATTAGTCCATATAGACTAATGTACTTTTCTTACTGGGGAAAGATATAAATAGCTTGTATTCGTAGACGATACGTAAAGTTTTCCTAGAAACCCCTTTACATAATAGATTTACTAATTATTCTATAATTATTGTATATATGTTCCCCCCATATCTTTTTTTTTTTATCTATCCAACATTTCTTGCATGCCCTTGCTGCGGATATATGCAGTGGTATATAGGGGCAGTGGAGTGTCTTTAAAAGTAAAGGCACCAACAAGATGGGCACTTTTACCATGTGAAAAGCAACATGTAACCTTGTCTTGTACCAAAAAAATTTAGTTTTTGAAAAAGTATTCAATTGTTCAGAAATAATAATAATAATAATAATAATAGTGAACATTTACAATGCGCCATGTCTGTTGAAAATGACACTCCTGTCGCAGTTGTGTAGAGATTATATAGTGAGCGTTACAAGTCTGGCCGCTATAAGTTCTGGAGTTGTTGGAAGCGTTGCAGCTGGTAGTCAGGAAGATATACCAGAAGAGAATTGCACAAGTCTAAGCGAAAAAAATATGAGGGAATGAACCATGGTTTCAGTAGCCTTACGTGTCAGGAATCTTCGGATGTGCGAATAGTTGCGGAGTTGGAATCTAATATAATGGCTAAATAATCTAAATAAGCAGTCAAATTAATTGGGATGGTATACATTTGACTGGAGAGGGGATAGAGTTGTTCTGAAGAGAACTAAGCAAACAAGTCGTCAGGTGCTATGCACCAAAAATCAAATGGACGTGTGCCAATAGAACTGAAAAGGCTATGGACTAAAATACCACAGAGGAAGAAGGCAAGTGACACTATGAGCATGACGGACAAAGAAAACGGACAAAATATACAGTTCCTCAGGTAGACAAAGGAACATCCCTTCACTGCTATTATGTAAAAATGTGTAAAACAGGTGTCACATGCATATTCACCTGTTTTACTCAATTTTACATAATAGCAGTGAAGGGAAATTCCTTTGTCTACCTGAGGAACTGTATATTTTGTCCTCTTTCTTTGTCCGTCATATTCATAGTGTGAAGATGGGTAAGTTACAAGGGTAAATGGATGGGACAAGAGAGTGGAGGAAGCTGAATCGACATCGACATCGACATCGACGGAGCCGAAGGAGGGAGAAGATTATTTTTTCTCTATTTATCCTCTTTCGAGGGACTTTATTTGTCATATCATAAAATAACAGCTATTTACAACAGTGTTTAAATACAGAATTCATGCAGTTGTAACATATTATGCATAGTACAGAACATGAAACTAATGTGACATAATCACTAACTAAATAATGAAAACATTTTTGTAACTTTTGTAACTTCTTTTGTATCGAATTTCTTTCGATTACATTTCATATTGAGATAGGTGCGAATTTCCACCTTTAATTCTTTTATCAAAGATACAGCATGTATCCTGTGCTTTTCACTTCCAAAACATTCTGTAATATAGTTTCTATAGATAATAAACTGAGCGAATGGAGAAGATGGCAAGGACAAGGAAGGACAGACAGAAGCGCCAAAGAAAAGGACACAGAAGCAGTTGTGAGCCCCCCCCCCCCCACTCAGTGTCATTTAGGGTACGCATATGCGTGTTCCCTCCTTTGAAAACACCCCCTAAGTCCGTGTGTAAAGTCAATTTTGTGTGTGTACGAGCCGGACTTTGGTGCGTGAAAAGTACCCCTTTACCGGACATGTTGGTAATACGCATGCGGTCATTCCGACCCCGGAGTGGGGGGGGGGGGGGGGATCGGGTTGTGAGGAAGAAGGAAATGAGAACAGAAGCACGGTATCCAAATCGACATGGATGGGTTTGTAATGGCAACAAAACCGGCCTCCTGACCCAGGCGTGGATCCAGGATTTTCCAATTTTCCAGGGGGGGGGGCGGAAATTTGAAAATTGCGCACACCGCTTTTTGAAGGTCATATTAGAAGCACCATACCGGTACAATTTTTGACATTTTCATCGGGGGGGGGGGGGGGGGTATAGCCTCTTGCCCGAAAAAGTAATTTTCTGGTTTCACAATTCGGCTAGTGAGCGAAGCGAGCGAGCAACAATTATGTATTTTGTGAAAGTGTTATTTATCACCAAAATTAACGAGAAAAAGATTTTAAAAAACTCATATTCGGGCAGCTCGCTGTCGAAGATTTGTTGTACCATTCTCGATTCTTATTACTTGACTGAATTCAGCCCCCCCCCCCTCCCGGGCGAAGCACGGAAGCTTTGGCCTTTTATAGTTTTATGAAATTATTAGAGAAAGATGATGATTCGTTGTTCCATTCTGAATTCAGTTGCCCCCCTCCCGAGCGATGCGCGGAAGCTTTGACATTTCATTAAATTATTAGAGAAAGAAGACAATTCGTTGTACTGTTCTCGACTAGTCAGAACTTTCAAAAATGTTTCCTTGTCTGCTCCTTTTTCGTCCTATGTCCTCTTACTGCCCCTAGCACCCCTGGCTACGCGCCTGCTTTAAAGGGAAAATGACACAATCGTGATTGTGATAGCACACAATTAGGTTAGTAGGAATGAAAGGGGAAAAAGAACTATTACACCAACCATGAATAAATCACGGCCGGGAGCGTCATAGTTTTGTGTTATCGGGCGAGGGCCGGGGCGTAGCGACCAAGCGAGATTTTGCAATGTTGAATGCTGAAATTATGCATTCTAGAAAATCCCTAAGCCCAATATGTACGTTCTTTCCGCTATATTTCTTTCTAGCTGTATTTCTAAATTTCCTGGGGGAAGTGTCCCCCTATCGGGCCCAGGATTTCCGCCTCTGTCCATGATTACTACCAACATGAGTTCAAATACAAGCACAAGCGAGTTGGTATGAGCTGAATCCAAATGAAGGGCAAAATAAGAGTTGTGAAGCGGCCCTACCGTTGATTTAAAATGTGACTGTTGAGTATGTAACTTCTATTTAAAAGACATCCAAGATATTGTGCCCTTTTCAAATTTCTCACTAAAGAGTGATGACCGGAGGGGCTGTTCTTAACGTTTAACTTTGAATCCGCGGCTCGAGATTTTATGCAGCCGGCCCGGCCCCCCTCTATTCAATAACGTTTGCCAAGCCTTCTGGAATGAACCCAAATCTCCCGATTACAGTTTTCCCTTGTTCGTCGTTACTGTCACTTAGCGCCATTTCCTTGTCTTTTACCCTCTCTCACCCGACTTTTCTTTTCCCCACCCCCCCCCCCCCCCCCGCCCACTCAGTGTTATCTAGGGTACGCACATGTATGTACCCTCTCTTTGAAAGCACCAATTTATCTCCGGTGTATAAAGTCAGTACGGGCCGGACTTTGTTGCGTGAAAAGTAACTCTTTATCGGAAATTTTGGGAACACAAATTCAGTCCCTCCGACCCAGAGTGGGAGGGAGGGGAGGGGGGGGGTGGGGGTTTCTTTATCTTTTCTCTTCTCTTTTCTTTTCTCTTCTTTTTTCCTTCCTCTTCTCCTTTCTTTTCTCTTCTCTTTTTTTCTCCTCCCCTTCTCCTTTCTTTTTTTCTCTTCTTTTCTGCCTCTTTTTTTTTCTTCCTTTTTTTGCGCCGCCAATAGGGGGGCCGCGGCCGTTTCGCCCCCCTCCCCCTGGATCCGACACTGCCATGGTCTAAATCTAACCCACGATTTAACACACGGTTTAAGCATGCCTAAGAGAGCATGCGCGCTCAGTACACTTAGTTACTCCACTTAGTAAAAGTTGAGGAGCACACGCTAACCGTGTTTGATTGGTAGCGTAACACACACCAACCATATGGTGGCCCTGAAGGGACATCGCGAATCACAAACTCTGTTGTGAAATTCGTGATGTAATATGCGACAAAATCGCATATTTTGTCGCGAATTTCGCCATGAATAACGTGACAGAATATGCATCTCGTCCAATATATTGTAACGAATTTTAGATGGTTGTAGTTATCTTCTTTCTACTATAAATTATCTCTGCTTTCGTTCTCTCTCTCTCTCTCTCACTCTCATGCTTATTATAAGGGTCATTTCTCTCTCTACCCCTCACCCCGACTTCTCTCTTTATATAGTTATACCCATTCTTTATCTCATTCTGTTTTATCCTTCACTTTCTTTCCATCCTTAGCCCTCCTTTCCCCATTTATCTCCCTCTCTTTCATAATAATTATCTACCCCCATTTTCGGCACGCCTTCCATATCACCCGACTCAGTGTCACTCAACAATAAGCCACTACGGAGATAGCAGTTGTACAAACGACCCCCAAATATCCACAGATCCTTATAAACATGGAGACGTCCCACGTTGTGCATTTTTAATTAATCACTGCCAGATATTAAATGGAGGTGCTTCGTAAATACATTTTGCTTGCACTATTGAAAAAAGGTATTCTTCCACCTGTGTATTATAACGTACCACTGGGAAATGGTGCATAAATCAATGATTACATAACTTTCATGAACACGTATCCAGCAGTCATTTGTATGGGTTTTTAGTTTTGTACATAATGCCCTCTCTGAAGGGGCGTATAGTGATGAACTTCACTTTTGTGCACCCTGGCACACTTGCAGCTCCCTTATCTCTTTACATGAGTTTGTTCATTCTTATTATGTACTTGTCTCTTGCCATGCTGTATTGGATTGTGCTTTTTATATGAAGAGTCGAATAAATAATGATAATAACAGTATTTTCAAAATAATTATTAAAAAAATACAAGAGTCATAAGAAAAATACTTAAAGTAGATATTCATTGATTTTAAAAACTATACCTTTATTTTCATTATTGCAAAGTTGCAACTTTGATTCGACAAGGTTGTCAAAATGCAATGCTTGGAAACATTCGAAGTAATGATTAGTTACAAAACGCTTAAATACAGCCCCGGCATAGCACCTGAAGAGCTCTCTGAACGCTGCTGAGATGTGTGAGATCACAGGATGGACATGATTTGCACAAGCAGACGATGTCCCATGACATCTCACACATTTTCAGTGCCTGATTTTTCATTTTCTCTGGAGTTCTTTCTCTTACTTCACTACCGCCAGGCTAAATGTAAAATCTATTGCCTCACTCTAAACCCCGCGCATGGTTTTATTTTGATGACAAATTCAGCGATACAATAATATAAAGGAATCTGTCGCTTGTAAACAAAATGAGACGCCATTGTATAATCTGTCAGAGGTAAAAATGTCAGAGGAAAAAATGTCAGAGTTAAAAATGTCAGAGTTAAAAATGTCAGAGGTAAAAATGTCAGAGGTAAAAATGTCAGAGGTAAAAATGTCAGAGGTAAAAATGTCAGAGGAAAAAATGTCAGAGGTAAAAATGTCAAAGGTAAAAATGTCAGAGGTAAAAATGTCAGAGGTAAAAATGTCAGAGGTAAAAATGTCAGAGGAAAAAATGTCAGAGGTAAAAATGTCAGTGGTAAAAATGTCAGAGGTAAAAATGTTTGATTGTGAATTAACCTCTATCCTGTGTATTTACAAACAAAAGATTTTAGTTATCAGAATCAGTTTCATATCCCCTTTTGAATGGTTTAATAATAATAATAATAATAATAATACATATGATTTATAAGGCGCCAAATCCACTTGACAGTCAAATGCTCAAGGCGCAGCTTGAAAAATGCCATCACATTTATATACACTAAACTAAATTTGAAAGATAATAGCTTTGCAATTAATATGTTCATATGTTATGGGATGTCGTCTGCTTGGGCAGTATTGGTCCATTATGTGACGTCATTAAAACATCGTTATTTTTCTGGCGAATCTCTCGTATATCCCAGATGCTATGGAGGTGGTTGTATTTGTATTTTTATAAATCACCAGATATATAGTTTACCTAAAACTTGTACGATGGCCAATTGTTAGCTTACCAGTTTGTAGTGATACATTAGTTGACATATTTGTGATTTTCTTTGAATTTCCACCTTAACACAACATTATGTAAATATACATTTGTTTTATTTTACTAAAAGTAATGAAAATTTAAAATTCTCTTTATCATGATTCAATATAATTCTGTTTACGCCAAGAATCTTATCGTTTTAGTTATGTATTAGTGAAATGATAAAAACTCAACATAAATAGTGATATTTTGAAAGGAAATGGCAAAAAATACATGATCATTGAAACAAATGAAACTAATCACCATTATAATAAAACTTTATCTCATAAACAACAAATAATGTAATATTACTTTATGTAGTAAATCAAAACACAAAGATTGCACTGTTGACATTAATATGAACACAAACAATGACAACAAGAATAACAAATCATGATAAAGAAGAACCACATTATAGCACTTTGAAATAATTCACACATTAACAAGTAATTTGTATTATGATATCTTGCTTCAATTATAAAAATATATTAATGTCCTGCCTTTAGCTTAGGAAATATATGATTTCAAGTGAAACTGCAAGATTTCTGAAAATATCTTGCTCCAACAATAAGTATAGCATTCTAAAGATATGTTTAGAAAATACCAAAGACATTGAAATTTGAAACTAAGAAATCTCAGATTAGTGTTATGTAGCTAGTCAAAGCAGCAGGAATTGTACAGCCACTAGTCAATGACAAAATGGCATTGTGCCCAGGAATATTAAACTTGCAAAGATTGTCCCAACTTTTAAGAAGGGTGACCCAAAACTATTGACGAACTACCGACCCATTTCCCTATTAACATCTTTCTTTAAAATTCTTGAAAAAGTTATCTACGTGACAACTGTAAAGTTTCTCAATACAAGTAAATTTGTTTCCAACGTTCAAGTTGGCTTCCGTGAGAAACATACCACCACCCATGCTACACTGCACTTTATCAATAAAGTTTATAATACTATGGACAACCACATGCACATACTTGGTATATTCTTGGATTACTCCAAGGCAAAATGTTTAATGTATAAGTTTAACTATTTGTTTACAAATCCATGTATAACCTTATCCCATCCTATATTTCTAGTCTGTTTTGTCCCATCCAGCAATCAAGATATTCATTACGCTCAAGGTCAGATCCTCTTCTTCTGCGAATTCTCCGCATCTATTTGAAGAAGGGTCAACAAAATATAACCTTTTCTGGTCCCACTATAGTCTCCCATGAAACATTCGTTCCTGCACCTTAGTCGAATCATGCAAGAGAAATCTCAAGACTTACTTGTTTTCTTTGTGATTAATTTTTGATAAGGCGTTGTGTGGAGTTGTGTGAGATGTGAACGAGGTTGTGTACTGTATGAACCAGGCTTGGTTCTGTGGTGCACAGCTTTTTGAATGACCTTACACAGCTTTACTCAACAAATTTTACAGTTCATGCACTTGGAGAGCAAATTAATTATTCTGTTTTATTAACTAATGTAAAGCGCTTTGGGCATCATATCAATATGTATGTACACTCTAAAAACTGAAATGTTAAATCACCATTTAAAAGGGCCGAGGAGTGACCACTCTTTCAAAATGTCAGATTGTTTCTTTTAACATGCTGGATTCAACCTTTATAGTGTTGGATCCACCATGTTCAAAGTGTTAATCTACCATTTTGAAAGAGTGGTCACTCCTCGGCCCTTTTAAATGGTGATTTACAGTTTAAGTTTTTAGAGTGTATGTATGTATTTGATATACAGTAGATCATACAATTTTGTTCTGTAAATTATCCCACTTTACGAGGTCAGGGGTGCCATTAGCATCTTTGAAAATATATTGTAAAATTTATTTTAAAAGGCATAAAATGTTGATCAAATCATTCATGTTTTCTTTATCAAAAAGAATTCATGTTCTTGATGTGGACTTTAATAAAAAGTCTAAAAATACTTAAATCTTTGCTTTTGGAAATATTTAAATTTAAGGCTACAAATGGCCCTCCATAATTTTTAAGTCCAACTTAGAGATAAGTTCAACTTAGGATCTTTGTGAAACACCCCGAGGGCCCCGTCTTACAAAGAGTTGTGATTGGTCCAAATCAATCGCAAGTCCTTCAATCAATCGCAAGTTTGCAGTCTCCTATATCTTATGTAGACCTACATAATAATAATAATAATAATAATCCGGTTTTTTATATAGCGCTCAATACACCGATCCAACGATGTACCTAAGCGCTTTACAGATATATTATTACCCCGGTCATCGGATTCAGGCTTACCCGCACACAATGTGTGCACATTTTCCACTCCCTGGGGAGCATTCCAGCCAGTCGCCATTTTACAGGCGCACACTTGCTCGTTCAACCACATGAACGTTCGCATCCTACCGGGTACCCATTTAACACCTGGGTGGAGAGTAGCAAGTGCAGGTAAATATCTTGCCAAAGGATATTAGTGCCGTGTCGTACATAGTTGCGATTGATATATCAAGTCTTTGTAAGACGGGGCCATGACCTCTACAAGCTAAGCTTTTCTTAAGGTCTCCTCGCCTTTCCTTTTCACTTAAATGCGTTATATGAACTTGTTCCTTATTGTTCCTTTTATATACTCTACATGTTATAAATTTGTTAAATTGTATACATTCATGTTCAAAGAAGGATAAATGAAATTGATCTTGAACTAGAGTTTAGCCAAGTCTGCAGCATGTCTATTAGTTAGTCTCATCGGCTAGGAGTTTAGTGGTGAGTTCTGAGATGACCTCCCAGGCATGTGTCATGTGACTCGACTCGGTTTTCGGATTGCACACGACCATTCTAAGGATGTAACGACCTTTTAGCACCGAACCGATCATGTGTATCTTACCATTGGCGTTGATGCGATCCAACAAAGTTCTATTCAAAACGTCTGATCCCTGAATAAGAAAAGGATAGAATATGATTCTAGGAACCGTCAACAAATATTATAAGGCGGGGGAATGTGTACGACCTATCACCAAACAATGTTGAAGCATTCTACATTTTTCATTTGTTGATTTATTTTTCATTGTATATTATTTTTCTTATAAAATATGCTTGATTCTTTATCTTCATGAAAGTGTTTTGTGTAACTCTGTAAAGAAAATAATAGCTATGGGATATCATGGGCAGAAATGAGATGGAAACAAGTTTGTGACTTCAGGGGGGTGTTTTACAAAGATTCTAAGTTGAACTTATCTCTAAGTTGGACTTAAAAATTATGGAAAGCCGTTAGCATCTTTAAAAAATATTTTGTAAAAGTTATTTTGAAAGGCATAAAATGTAGATTCAAATCATTCATATTTTCTATCACCAAGGAGATTTCATGTTCTTGATGTGGAATTTATAAAAAAAGTCTAAAATACTTGAATTTCTGCTTTTGAATATATTTAATTTAAGGCTCCAATGGCTGTCCATAATTTTTAAGTCCAACTTAGTGTTAATTTTTACTAAGAATCTTTGTGAAACACCCCCCAGATCATATCCTAACTACAGGCATGATCACACAAAATCGTCCTGAGATAACCCTGGTGAATCACTTAATCGCCTTGAATTGAAATGGCAAATGGCAATAGGTGAAGGAATAGAGAAATCCACAAAGCAGTGTTGAGGAATTCAATCAGAAAACCCGTATCAGGACAGTTACCCCTGGAAGATCACCCCCCGGAAAATTACCCCCAAGGACAACCCCCGGACAAACAAGGACAACTACCCCGAGGAAAATTACCCCCCCCCCCCTGATAATAAGTTGGTTTTAATATAAGAAGATTTTTTTCGGGGGGTAATTGTCCTCGGGGGGGGGGGGGAATTGTCTACAGAGGATAATTGTCCTTGGGGGTGCATAGTTATCCTCGGGGGGTAATTTTTCCGGGAGGGGGGGGGGGGTAATTGTCCCGCCGGTAATTGGCCGGGGGGGGGGGTGATTGCCCAGGGAGTAATTGTCCTAGAACCAAGAAAAACATTTCAAATTTTAGCTGTACATTATGTTGGATATTTCGGGACACCAAAACGATTGTAAACATAAAATATCAATTTTGTTTTTCTCTCTCTCTCTTTCAGAAAAGGGTACGATCAAAATTAATGGTAAAACTTGTATATGATTGCCCTACCTTCAATCTAAAGCATACCAGAGCTAGCACAACCTCGGCAACGATTTCGAATCGGTTGTCATCGACCACGAGGGCTTCGAATTCCTTTGCAAGAGACACCGACTGTAAGAAGATGAAATAACAAATAAATAAACCATATTTTTAAGGAAAGGATATAAATACCTAATCATATTCATCGTTCTTTCATTAGAAATATGTTCCACTCTTGATCCTTTGACTACTGATTTTTAATTGTTAAGTACCAAAATGTATTGAATTATTTCGTTAGAAGATGTCTAGAAGATGTTTTTCTTCTGTTTCAGAAGCATATTGCATAAAAAAGCATAGTTTTAAAATGTATCTCGCCTCATACACAACAATTATATCCATTTAATTCTATTTTAACTGTTTGTGATTATAATTTGCTTCACAACAGATTTATTGGAAAACTTATATAGAAAGTAGAGAAAGTCAACTTTTAGAACACATATCATGAAACCTATGAATATATAAGAGGTAATAATTGGTTTTAATTCTTGTTTTGTATTTCTGTACGTCAGTTACGTGTCACATGTTACCATGGTGATATCAAAAGCAAAAACGGGAAAAGTAAGCAAAAAGATGAGGCAAAACATTATAATTGCTCTAGAAAACATATCAAAATAGTCTACAATTAAAAGACTTTACATTGTGCGAATTACGGTTTTCTGTTTACTCTTGTGGTTCACTATGATGAAAAGTCGCAAAATGACAGCTTTAGTACATCTTTTTCTTTTCTTCAGTGCAGTCTTCTATTGACAGAGTTCTTCATATTCTAAAGCATCAGAAACTAGATGGAACTTCGACTGCGCGCAGTCGAAAATGATGCCTCCGTCATAGAGCAATTTTACAAACCAAAACAGAAGAAATTTTTCAAATTCAAGTTTGATTGTAATCCATTAACAGGTTCTCGGAATATCGTGATTACAAGCTATTTCTCATATATATGTATGACCCTTTGATATTTGACCTCATGATCATGACCCCAAAATCTACTCAGTTCATTGGCTCTGCAAGATACATACATGTACATGTCTTGAGTTTGTTGGTAATCCATCCGTCGGTTCTAATGATAATGCGATCACAAGCTATTTTTGCATACATAATGAGCCCCATGACCTTTGACCTTGACCTCATGACCCCAAAATCTAATCAGTTCATTGCCTCAGTAAGATACATACATGTCCTGAGTTTCATGCTAATCTGCCCATCTGTTCTAATGATAATGTGATCACAAGCTATTTTTGCATACATAATGAGCCCTGTGACCTTTGACCTTTGACCTCGTGACCCAAAAATCTAATCAGTTCATAAGCTCTGTAAGATACATACATGATATAAGTTTGGCAGGAATCCATCAATCGGTTCTTCAGATAACGCGATCACGAGAACGGGACGTACGGACGTACGTACGGACGGACGGACAACCCGAAAACATAATGCCTCCGGCTACTTCGTAACGGAGGCACAATGATAGTGTTTGAAGAGTCATTTCCCTTTTACCTTTCTGATGTATTCTTGAAGTTTCTCAACTCCAAACAGTCGAAACACGAACCAAAGTTTGAGAGATCTGAACCGACGACTTAATGGGATTTGCCAGTGCTGTCGAAAATGGAAGATTGAGGAAAACATAAGATACGAATGAAGTATGATAATGATCTGTCAATTGGAATATGAAGTGACGCCTGCTAGAACATTATTTAGTTGTGATGTTAAACACAACTTAAAGGGGCACGTTCCCGCCATTGTAGTTATCGCTGCTCTAGTCATCGCCATCTTGGTTCCGAAGATCGACTTCTAATTTGCATACAGCTGTCAATCAAAGTACGCGCGGCCTGGCCTGCCTTCGTCAAGCCAGCTGATCGCTGCCGATCCTGACGTCACAAAAGTGGGCGGAAACGTCAGCCGAATCTTAGAGCCGAACTGCGATTGGTATTACTTCGGCACATGTATGCGATAATCGGCATTGTGCGGGCATTCGGAACATGCCATCTGCGTAAGAGCCGTATTCTGTTGGCGTCAATAGGCAGCTAGCACCGTCCGCCAGCGGGTACGTATTTTGAACGCCCTCTGGAATACGGGGAACATGCCCCTTTAAGTAATTGATCTATAACTGCTCCTACAATGACTGTATTGATCAATTAAATACTTCGCCAGTATAAAAAATATGTTGTCTTTGTCTTCTAAAGTGTTTGGAGCCTAAAAATTTTGATGGCAAATTTTCACTTAAATTATATAATGATGTGAAAGAGGATGTCATTTAACACACCCATCTGCAAGGATTTTTTAAATAAATGTTTCTGAAGACGAATATTAACGGAAGAATACAAGACAATATCTGGGTTTTCTGCGTATAACAGAAAACTAAAAGTTTGTATTCGTTCATCAAATTTTGGCCTTAAAATGTATATATTTTGAAAATCCCTGCAGAAATGTGTGTTAAACGACATCCCCAAACCCCCCCCCCCCCCCCTGCGTACGCCCCTGTATGAAAGTGACATGTTTCACAAAGTAAATTCAGAATCAGCAGTTCAAAATCTCCATTGAATTACTGGGGATCTGGGCCAATACACCAGTTTACGGTTGTGTGCGCCATTTCAAACAAAGCCAATGACCTAGAGGTCATGTATTAATGCGTAAATTAAGAAAAATGAATTATGATGATATCACTGTCTGCGCGCTGCGTTGTGCGCGCACATAAGAGGGGAGAGAGCAAAGACGTTTAAATATAATTACGGGATAAAACGTTGTAAAAAGGAGTATGAGACGAAAGGAAAGAGTGGGAGAAATATGGTACGGGGGGAGGGGGAGGGGGAGGGGGAGGGAGAGCCAAAATAAATGTCAGATACATTTGAGGAGGATGCTGGGGTTAAAAAAAAAAAAAACGCAAAAGAGATTTATATAATTTTTGACAAATTACATTACCCTGTAGTCGATGACTGTGTCTTGATGCTGGTGCTGGAGGTAGGCTGGATCAACATGGAATGCGCCCTCTAACGCTGACCTGTCTTTGACCCACAGGGCAGAGCAGTCAAAGGTCACTCGAAGAACCTTGTGAGGGTTCAAGTTGAATGAATCTGCAAGCTAAAGATGAAAAAAGATAAACGTAAACGGCATCGCAACAAAAGATTGATATAAGGCTTTTCACATTATTCCTATCGACTATGGATCGATATTATTGAAACATGCCAGTGAAAATAATACCAATTTTGAACTTGTAGGCCCACATCAACCCCTTTAAAAGGGCCAACAATTAAACATATCTCAACATATTGATCGTCTACATCACAGTCTGCAAACTTAACTGTTCATAACAAGTTTAAGACTGCCGAGACGTGACGGTGTTTGTCATGTCTGCATGACTTGTGTATATTTATGGATTGAACATTAAACAAATTCTAGATCTAACGTTTTCAAAACTCTGTCACTCCCTGTTTCTTTCTTTTGAATTCAACGGTTTAGTTTTTAGAAAGCATCGTTGTATAAGGGGATGACCACTAGAACTTACCTCGACACCTTCTAAAAACTGTCTGTATTCTGGGCATATAAATGCATTACCGGCATATGCAGCATCAATGTGAAACCACAAGCCCTCATCTCTACCTGCCCATGGAGAAAGAAAAACAAATATGAAAAGGCGTAGTTGGCTTAACTTGGGCCTACTTCTCGTTCAAATAATCTGCCCTAATTCGCATTTATTGTAAGATTTGGACAGTATTAAGGCTCTGTTAAGGATGTTAAACAAATCCATTGATCATAAGCTGAAGAAAAATTAAAAACTATGCTGACCACTTACTTAGCTACCGGGGAGGGCAGACCCCCCCCCCCCCCTTTCCCTAATCGAGTAGTGAAAGGCAGGGGGATGTTAAGGGGGCAGAGAAAATTATTCCGAGTTTAATGATAGGTTCCCTACTGTACACTCTGGCTAAACGATTGCATTTAAGCATGTTTTTAATTTAGTAGGACATGTCCCCCTGCCATGTCTATTCAGTGGATGGATCCTCGCTACTCCTTATAATTATCCTTATAGCCGATCTTTTTTTATTTTTTTCTATTTTAAATAATAGTTTTAACATTAAGATTGGCGTAATTTTAACCCTTGTTCATGTTTATATTAACATGTCTAGCATGCTTGCCAATAGCGTAATGAAATATAAAGGGGGTTGATGGCGCGTGTGCCCCGTTCTGGATCCCCCCCCCCCCCCACCTGCCTCAGTGATACTCACATATTGGACCCAGCTCCTTGAGATTATCGAACGCACATGACGTGGTTGTCCCGAGTGTAGCACAGAGCTGAACAAGAAGTGAAAACGATAAATAGAAAAGAACAAAGAAAGCCGGGAAAAACTAACTTGCAAGATATGATATGATACTATCAAGTTACAAAGAAAGAAAGAAAAAACTACCTGTTTTCTTTCACAAGATTCGTTGGTCGCAAAATTGCACAGAATCCCGTCAAGTTTAAGTTTCTACCGCTGTTTTGGGGGGTAAATTTTACACAAATTGCTTTCCTTATCCGTCATAAATTAGGAATCGTATCATGATTCTTGTTCCTTTTTTTGTTCTTCTTGTTCTTCTTCATCATCTTTTTTTTCTTCTTCTTCATCTTCTTCATCATCTTTTTCTTCTTCTCCATCATCCTCTTCTTCTGATTCTTTTACTTATTCATCTTCTTCTTCATCTTATTCTTCTTCTTCTCCTTCTTCTCCTTCTTCTTCTTCTTCTTCTTCTTCTTCTTCTTCTTCTTCTTCTTCCTTCGTTTGATTGTGTGTCTGTTTGTATGTCGTGTGTCTGTTTGTATGTCGTGTATCTGTTTGTATGTCGTGTATCTGTTTGTTCAAACATTCCTAGACTGATTTATTCACGGTAGGGCCATAATAACAAGAGAAGGTGATAGAAAGAAAAAACAAAGCATAACATAAAAGAAGGTAAAAGAAGGAAGAAACAAAGAATAACATATGGAAAAAACAGAAATAAAAAATGATAAAGAATAGGTACAAAGTGTTATTAGTTACACGCTGTCCTTGCCGATTGAGCTAACGAACTCACATGCCCTGATTTGTATAATTACTATCACCCTATTGACCACCCTACCGGATTCCATGTGCGCATGCGCTGGTTCCATCGCGAGTGCGCATGCTCAGGTTTCCCTCGCGAGCTCGATCTGGGGGGGGGGGGGCATTTCATGCAACAATTAGTCTGTGGTTTTCACCGACTAATATGATGTTCACCGACAATTCTTTTGTCACCGACTGTTTTCCAGGCCTGTGATTGGTCAAATTTAGTCAGCGCTGACTAAATTGTCGGTGAACATGATATTAGTCGGTGAAAACCACCGACTAATTGTTTCATGAAACACCCCCTGGGCTCGCCGTGGTACGAAAAAATAAGACGCGGACTGCCACAGCATCAAAACAGCTGATCGAAGAAGTTTTTTTTTTAATCGGGGTGCCACGCATTACCAACCAAAACACGCTCGGTGATGTTTCCGCACAACTGTAAACGGGCGCGCGAAACATCGCGTTTTTTTGTTGTTGAAATGAGGTATTTGACAGTATTCCAAATCCATTTTCCTTGGCAATTTCTGAATCACCGCAAGGTAAAATCGTATCTTACGTAAACAGGGATTTTCCCTTTGGCTTTGTCTTCTTCTATGGCTTTCTGGAGTACATCCCCTCTCAGAGAACCTTTGTCATCGGTGGCTAGCTGTCTGATGCGAAGACTAGCAATCATAGCTGCTTTTCGACTGATGAATGACTCTTTGGAGAGAAAGAGAGAAAGAGAGAAAAAGAGAGAGAGAGAGAGAAGGAATGGGAGGGGTGAAGGGTGGAAAAAGTGATTAAAATATGAAACTCAATTCAAGATCATCATGATCATAATCATTGTGAATGGATTAATTTAAATAGTGGATTCCTTTACTCCTTTTCAACTTTATATATGCTCTGGCTCCTAATGGTTAGGAGCCAGAGCATATAACACTGAGTTCCCATAGGACATATATTCATTCAGATGGTCATATCTCAGCCAATACTTAACATATTCAATTGGTTTTCGACATTTGGACATTATTTTTGATGTTCTTTCGGAATATGAAGAAAAAATTGAGAAATTCTAAAAATAGATTTTTGATGACGTCACACTTCACCCCTCTATTGCGACACCCCAACATCGGCACCCAGAACATCGACATGCTTCAGGTACAAGTCAACTCCAAAAATAACAATAGAAGCAAAATATTCAGACAAACCTATCAAAAAAAGGTTTGAGCAAAATCAGATAACTAATAAGAAAGTTATGAATTTTCTTCAAAGTATGTAAAACCTTAGAACAATGAAAATCACTACACGAATTGCCAATTTGGTTATCAGTTTGTGACATCATTTCCTCACTATTTCTCAATTGCTTTATATAGTTTAAACTCATTAATTTCCCCTTTTATTTCCTCATACTTTGCCCAGGTTATATAATTTGTATCATATTGCGTGCATGATATTTCACAAAATCTTTTATGAATTTGAAGAATTGATACTATTTTCTGAATATTGGATATTCATAATTATTGATTTTTATATAAATAGTTTATAAAAAAATCACATTTTTCATGATTTTACGTGAACGAAATTACTTTCTATAGTGCATCCACACAAAAACATATTGCTATCAATATAACTCTAGGATTCTTAGGGGGAAAATAGGAAATTAATATTATCAATATAAAGAAATTAATTAGTAGATAGTGAGGACATGACGTCACAGACTGATGAGTGAGTTGCCAATTTGTATAGTGATTTTCAAAGTTTTTCATTTCATTAAAAATGTATAACTTTCTTATTAGTTATCAGATTTTGCTCAAACTTTTTTTGATTGGTTTGTCTGATTTTTCTGCTTCCATTGAAAGTCAGTTAGTTTTGGCATAGACCTTTCCTTTAAAACAGACTAAATATCTGGATACTTGATGGAGTAATCTCTTTAGCAGCTCACTCGCTCAGGAAACTATACTTGGATGGAGATTTACCTGGTCTGATGTGTAAACGACTAGTTTGGACATGACGTCATACTGATCAAGACTCGGATCCTTTTCTATCTCCTGTCTTATTGCCTTCATCTTAGCTGCCAGCAAGGCTACTAGAGTTGATTCACTTGCTGTACCCTGTTTAAAAAAAAACAATATTAATATGAGTTTACATGTATCTCAAACGATATGGATAATGCTACGAATATTGTTTTCTGCCTCAATGCCTATATACTTTCTATCCCTTTCATTCTGTAGTTGTTGTTGTTGGTGTTGTTGCTGCTGTTGTTTGATATGTCTCCGTTTACTAAAACTCTACCTAATCTTTTTACAAGGAGACTTTTCTTTATACATATACATCCTCTCTCTCTCTCTCTTTCTCTCCGTTGCCCCTTCTCCATCTTCTTCTTATCTTTTTCTCCATTCTACTTCTCTTTTCTACTTCGTACTGTTTCTTCTACGTTTTTAATTTCGACATGTTTCTATATCTTATCTTTATCGATTGATTGTTTGTTTTACGTGGCTGCTAAGAAAGCATAATGTATGCGTGTATAAACTAAGCAACTCGTTGACCGACGGCATTAAGTCCTCTCCGAGGTACTTGATAATGAGGATTAATGTCTCACCAAAGGGAACTAGCGCATCGACTTGGTTTCGAACCCATGACCTACCGGTTACGAGACCACTGCTCTACCACTGAGCGATCGCACCTCATCTTCTATTAGTATTACTTCTTTATTTATTTGTTCGTCCTTCTTCTTCTGATTCAGCTTCATTAACTTCTTGATTTCTTCCTTCCTTACCTCTTTTCTCCTTCTTTTACTTTAACTAATAAAATGAACTTTATTTTCAATCTATACACAATTATCTTCACCACCTCATTGTTCTCCATTGTACTTTCATTCTCATACTGCTTTCTAACTGGCTTCTATTGAAGTCACACCGATGAAAATACCGATTGAATTTCCTTATGTAAACAAAGGTGAAACCGCAGTTTTCCCCCTGTCGCTTTTTAACTGCCGGTGAAATTCATTCGCTGTGGCGAGCCCTTGCCGGAAGTGAAGAATTATTGCGTAATTATTAAGCCCGCGCTCCATCTAGCTAGCATGCAGCATGTTCAACCATAAGTCAACAAACACAGCTGGTTACGATAAAGCGCGCGTATACTGCGACCTATGACCATTTTAATCGTTGTTTTAATCGCCTTTTTCTCCCGAACGTTTTCTAACTGGCCGTTTCATCGGTGTCACACCGATAGAATGAGAATTTCTCCTGCTCTTGAGCAGGAGAATTTAATCGCCTATTTCTCTTCTTTTCATCGGCCATCTAATCGCCTTTTTCTCCTCTGTTGCTTTCTAACTGGCCGTTTCATCGGATGCGTCCGGATGCATCCGATGAAAATCAGTGCAGTTAGAAAAGGGTATTAGACTTCCTACCTGAATGACTCCTCCTCCCTGCCTTGTTTCATTGAATAAGAAGGATTCAGGAAGATTCAACATCCTTCCTAACCAATTCATCATCGTCATCTCGAGCTCTGTACATGCTGGACTGGCAATCTAAAGGAGAAAAAAAAAACGAGAAAATGACTTTTATCTCATTCATGTAGATTAAACAGCACATGTCCTATCAGCATTATTGCTTTCTAGATGTCCTGTTACCCACTCCCCCCCCCCCCCCCCCCTCCCCCCCCCCAACAAAGTGAATAGCAATTTCGATATGCAATGGTGGATTGGGACTGGGTCACGTGGGTATGTGCCTTCCCTTCCCCCCCCCCCCCCCCCGAACTACTAAATAAAAATGCACCCGCTTTTCTTTTTTCTTTCCATATAATTATTTGGACTACACAGGAAACTAAAAAAACATGATAGTCTTATTTGAGCTATAATATATATTTGGATGAAAATAGCACATATGAAAAATGTGGGAACAATATCAGAACAATTAAAAATACGTTTTTCGAGTCCATTTCCCCCCAAATGTTATAACATGATATTATATTAAGTTGAAACCCGATCGCAGAAGATTTCGAAAAAAATTAAACTTCGGAATTTTCGATAGCCTTGTCCATCCCCTATTGAAATTTGTAGCTATTACAGTGGTGTATTGCGTTATCCAATAATTGATTTTCTGGAAATTGCCCTTGAGTTGATTTCGTCCAAATCTTTGCGATTGTGTAGATATAAAGGGTACTCACCCAAGAAAACCCGACACATGAGATACCACCTGATAGCATGTCACCTAGTAAAGAAGCGAAGGAGTTTGCGAGCGGGTAGTAGGCGTGGAAGTCGGGATGATTCCAGTGCGTTACCTAGCAACGAGAGTGATGATGATGATGATGATGATGGTGATGATGATGACAGAGATATCATTAATACAAATACATACGGAATGAAATTTCATATTGATGGTTACAATTTATTATAATTTGTTAAGTCAACAGTTGTAATTAATATCCTTCACGACAATATTATATCTCAATATGTTTATAGATTATGATTATCCTCACCGAATTGCACGCTCTTGTAATGTGAATCATACCAATAAACTCCTCTATAACTCTTTAAATTCCAGGGCCCTAACAATGCAACCAGAAAGAATTTAAGATAAGAAACCGAAATTGTGAAAAATCGTCAATTACAAAAGGATATTAAATTGTAGATAGAATTATACATTTGGAACGATGAGTCGACGATTATCACACGTTTGCTATCATACATCACATCTACTGATTCCTTTATGATTATTAATGCACGGCGCCCTCGATTTGTCCATACAAATTATGAACATGCACTATGAACATGCAGGCACTTAGCCACGGGGGGGGGGGGCACGGGGGGCACGTGCCCCCTAAACATTTCCAAGATCGGTTGAACTTTTTTAGACCCCTTTTTGACCTCGATCGATTACATGTATGTGCCTCCCCAAACATCGAACTCTGGCTACGTGCCTGTGAATATGACGGACAAAGAAATAGGACAAAATATACAGTTCCTCATATTACCCTCAACAATTGCTGTGGTAGACAAAGGAACATCCCTTCACTGCTAATATGTAAAAATTAGTAGAACAGGTGAAAATACATGTGACATCTGTTCTACACATTCTTACATAATAGCATTGGTGGTACACAAAATATTAGAAATCGTTATATTTATGGATATTTCAGCCGTCTCTGAACCGATTTTGATCAAACAAAGATGATTTTGTCATTTAAATTATATGCTCTTTCAAATTTGACACTCAGTTTTTCATTCACTCACCAAAAAAACAAATAAATTGTAGCGCCCTTTGCAACAGAACTCAACTATCCCTTTAATGTAATGCTTGCATTTTTATATTTAGAATAAACGAATTCTTGTTCACTGGGTGCCTGTCGTAGCAACAAACAGAGTTGACAAAAGACTTGACTCTGTTTCGTTGACGATCAGCCATGCATCAAGTCGTCTTTCGTCTTCTTTGTGCATGGCTGGACACAATACTCGAGTGGTCGTCTAAGTGTGCCCCACATACCCTGATTTCTGTCGGTTCATGATATAGGAGAAATTTATTTATTAAAAAAAGATTGGGGGCGGTTCTATGAATAAATTATTTATTTATTTGTGTATGTATCTATTTATTTATTGATCTATTCATTTATCTATTTATTTATCTAAAGTAGGAATATGCAACTTTCAAAAAAATTTAGTTTTAAATTTATAAGTATTTTGGGGGCTATGTCTTTTCTCATCTTATTTTAAAGCAGAGATGTGAAAATAGCAAAATGTATAAAAAGGTTATAATAAAAGTTGATTGGATACGGGCCTTAGTTCATTTATTTCTGTATCTAATAATTTCTACTTTTTTTTTGGGGGGGGGGGGGGTTAAAACGTGGAAACGAGAGTTCCTTGCCTTTGGAATTCCTAATCTTCTAAGACATCTTTTTAAACACTTTTGAATAGTAAGGGGGGCGGGAGGTGGATTGAGGCGGGTCCTTATTCTTTCCTATGAAGGGCGGAAAAATATCGCAAAACGATATTCCTTACCCCTACAAAATAAGCCTTTTCACAACAGCTCACGCATTCTCCCAACAACTCACTAATCACTTCGGTCTGGGTCTTCTTTTTTTCTGGGGGGGGGGGGGGAGGGGTCAAAACTTTGTAAAAAGCCTTATCCTTACCCCTGGCATAATTAGCCTCTCCACATCAGCCAGCACGTCATTCCACTCATCGGGCTTCTGCGGGGCATCTGCGGGCATCTGATCGAGCAGGTAGCCCGGGGCCACTTGGGCAAGGGCTGGGCGGTCCTCGATACCGTCCTGGTAACGCGAGATATAGTCCACCATCTCCTTGCCCCAGACACGGAAATCATCGGAGTTTGTCATGACAACGGTCGTATGAGAGGATTTTGCTTATTTTTCTTTCTGCAGGAACGAAAAACAAAGTAGGCCTATTAGAGAACTGATAATAGTACTAAATTGAAAGTAAGAATGATAATGATAATGATAATGATTCATCATCATCATCATCATCATTACTTATGTCTTAAATTTCAAATTACTGGATTCTGATTTTTAACGCAAACTTTGCACTGCTCTTCACGCACTTCCCATTGTCCTTTTTATCATTATTACTCTGATTTATAATTACACCAAGAGTTTTGCTACAATGGCATGGCGTTAACTGGCGTATACAGAAATTTATGGAGTGGGAGCACGATCATCGTCTCTGAATAAATATGTTCAAACTTGGGCAGCGAGATGATCAAATTTAATTTTCATGTAAACCTTCATAATATATCAACATAATGTCGTATATTACTAAAGTGGCATATCAGCTCCCTGGAAAATATGCGCCCGTACGTCTATTCTTACTAACATCCTGAATAAAGTACATCTTAACATCTATAGTTAGGTTGATCAAACAAGATCGTCGCTTTCGTATCTTGGACTTAATTAACAATATTACGTAATGCCATCAAGAAAGCGACACGCTGTATAACATACACAAAAATATACGTATAGATATAGCATATGGCTCCGTTTAGTCTCATTTCACAACGCCCCCTATAGTCAAAGCATGATCAGAGCCAGCAGCCTAACATGTTAGCCTATGGACGTTTTTTTTTTTAATCGTTAAAAATTCATTTTTTGTTTAAACGAAAAGCACATCCACCCCGACGTACGTTATCACTAGCTCTTTCATTGGAGCCCTCATGTCTCATTGACGTAATTTTTCAAAATAGGTTGCAAGCTCGTCATTGCCTATAATACACATGTGAAACAAGTCTAACTTTGGACTCAGTTTACAAGCGATTTGAAGATTATAGGTCGAGCACACGAAACATAAAAAGCATGAAGTATCATAGATCACTTCTGCCTATTTCATTATGTCCATTTCATCCACCCCCCCCCCACCGTAATTTTTCCATTTAGTAAAAGCAAACATTTTATCGAGTTTAGCAAAAACATGAATATTCATGAACGGTCAGACAATACAGCCTTTTAGTACGTAACGTATAGTGAATGGGAATGGGCGATGATCCGTTCAGGAGGTAGAGGTCAGTGGTTTGTGCTGGCAATGTTCACGCGAGCGAAAATGAGACAATCGGAGCAATATGTCACTCTTTATGCATATGCATATGCATGGGGGAAAACAATAGCCCAGGGGCGGATCCGGCTGGCGGCGAGGGGTGGGGTCAATTTGTGAGAAAATATTTAATGGCGCGTTCCGCGCATAAGCAGACAGGGGGCGTCTGAGGGGATGTGCCCCCTCCGAAGCTGAAGAAAAAGTATACACCGAATCGCACGAATTTTTCACACTCAATTTGTGCGATTCGGTGTATACTTTTTGCAAAGATATCAATTAAAAACTGTGACTTTTTCCAGCATATATTTATGATGAGCCTTGGATTTCTAGGAGGTTCTCCTCTTTGGTTACTTGTTTACATTTATTTTTAAATTTGATGAATTTACACAAAGTTTGCATAATTTCAAATGATTACTTTCTGTCTTCTATGACCATCGGGTATAATGATCTGTCTGGTTGCCATTAGGTAGGTGATGAACGTGATCGGTGGGCTATTATCACGAAAAAGAATCAAGAAATATTGGATTTTGTTAGGGAATATCAAGATTTATTTTTTCTACAACATGAAGCAAATAGTATTCTTCTAAAAGCGTCAGATGTCTGTTTGATTATGATTAAAGTTTGAGTCATTTCAAGTACCAAAATAAGATCATTACCATAGAAACGGAATGTTAAAGAAGTTTTTATTTTTCAACCACGCCCCTCCAAAAAATAAAAATAAATGAACCTAATCAATACAAGGGAGCATTAGAATATGTATCAAAACAAAACTATAATAGGAAAAAGAAATAAGTAGAGAATACAATCATGACAATGTAGACAATATGTCATCAATAATCTTTTAGGGTACCTTTATTTGCATCTGGCTCGAGTTTGACTCGGGTATTTGGTACATGGAAAAATGCACTTGTTTACATAATCGCATTATCTCTTATTCATTCTAGTTTTAATGTTTTCTGACTGTTTTCAAGACAACATCATGTTTGTTGATCATAGTTCTTTATAATTATGTAGCTTGATGTCTAATTGTATGCAACGAATGTTGAATTTTAGCGACAATCCATGCATGGCTGCTCATTAATATTTCCATGCAGGCGCAGATCCAAAGGTGTGGGGGGGGGGGGGGACTGAGCGGGCCTCCCCCCCCCCCCCTGGCCAGAAAAAAATAAAGACGGGCCCCAAAAAAATTGTGACCAGAATTAGTTTTTGTTTTTTTGCTCAAGGGGGGGGGGGGGTGGTGTTTAGCGAAATATCGGCCGGCGCAATTTTCAAATTGCCGGGTAAAAAAAAAAAAAAAAAAAAAGTGCTCTCCGCTGAACGTTTTTCAAAGTGGATGGTGGAGGCTAAAGTATTTACGATCAGGTAGAGCGTATATATAGCACACATTGGCGTTTGGGTCCAGGGGCAGAGCCCCCGGAAGTTCAGGGGTATGGGCATTACGGTCAGATGAGCATATTTTGATACCTTATTGATAACACTGGCAGGTCACTATTGGCCTGAGCCCCAGGAAACTCAGGGGTTTTAGGAATTAAATTGCGGTCAGATGAGCATCCAGGGACTTGCCTAAGGGCCCTTGGTTAGGTCCAGGGGGCAGAGCCCCTGGAAGCTCAGGGGTTTCAGTCATGAAATTGCAGTCAGATGAGCATATTTTGATCTATCTATCTATCGAAGTATCTTCTCCCGGTTCGGAGGTTGATTGCAATATCTTCTGCCATTCTGGTTCACTCTTGCAGTTTTAGTCGACTCCAGTTCTTGACATTCTCTTCCCAGTTGATTTTGGGTCTCCCTCTCGGTCTAGTTCCTTCCACTTTTCCCTCCCATACATTCCTTTAAGAGGCTTTGGTGCCTTTTAACTTGATCAAAGTATTCGACTTGTTCCTTAAATAATCCTACCAGTGCAATTGGTTCACGCCCTGCCATGTGCAATATCTCTTTTTGTTGGTTTTCATTCGTTTCCAGGATATTTTCATCATTCTTCTGTAAATCCAAATTTCAAAAGATGTTATTCTATTTTCCATGGCCTTGCTTATTGTTAATGTTTCTGCTCCATACAATAGGACATACCATACATAACAGCTTACTAGTCTCAACCGAAGCGCAAATTTGACTTTTCAATCTGTGAATAAGTCATTCATTGTCAGAAATGTATTCCGAGCAATTTCTATTTGTTAGGATTCAACCTTTCCCCTCAATGCTACCCGCTTTATATTTGTTATGTAGATTACAGAATTGGGTTGAATGCATTGGGTAGTTAGGCTCCACTGCACTCTACATAGCTCCAACAGGTGGTGCATAGCTATAGTGGGTGGGTTGAATGCATTGGGTAGTTAGGCTCCACTGCACTCTACATACATTGTAGCTCCAACAGGTGATGCATAGCTATAGTGGGTGGGTTGCCTTACCTAGCAGTGTAGTGTCACTATCTGCACACAAGTCATACAGGAGGACCTATGGGTTGGTGGTGAATGAAAGTTGTTTCATAGCATTTTGCGCTGCAATTTCCATGGAGGGTCAAGATCACCAGAACCGACATTGAGGCCTGCCCCGATTTTCTGCATTTCAGTCAACCAGTCAAACTGTAAGTTTAATCCAAGTTTAATCCATATTTGTATTCCTTTTTATAATGATACATTGGGCGTGTTCATTTGTCATTGAGACAGTCAAGGTCACAAGTGAACCTTTGAATTAGGGATAGTAATGAAGACTGCAAATCATTTCTCTTACGTAATAATGTAACTCTTTATACATTATTTTGTTCATTTCTGAATAATAAATGAAAGTACATGTTCGCAGGATTTGCACTCAGTAATTAAGGCTCTTTCGAATGTTGAAAGGATATGTGTAATGCAATGTAAATCATTATGATAGAAGCCTTTTCTGTAATGTGTTTTATTGCATTGCCTGATGATGATTATAGTCTCGTTAAAAGATATTAAGTAGATGATGAATAATTTAGTATTATTCCGTAGTCTATTAATAGCCTGGGTTAATGTTAATTTTTATATGGTGTTCCGGCTAGGACTTACAGAGCAAGTCCTGTATCCAAGTTTCATGCCACAATGGGTGGATCTCTACCTGTAACGACTAAGGAGAGATGAAGGTGCCATTACAGCTAGAGGAACCCCTTCGTTACGGTGGACAAGTTCCAGCAACAGTAACAGCTATGGTTTCTTTATTCCCATGAACAATATTTAAATATCACATCTTGAGATTGATTGCATCACTAAAGTGGGTTATTTTATTTATATCTCCAGACGTACGATAAACCTACGACCATTTTTAGTGTCAATACTCTGTACCCATGCGTTATTTTGTGACAGCTAAGACTACAACCTCAGGGTTGGGTTCAATATATTCTTTATATCTTTATATGTATTTCTATTGTGATAAGAAGTAAAGTAATAAAGATAAGAAGAAGATGATATTCTTTGATACACTTAACAGAATTTGATTTCTTTGTTTATTGTGTTAATATTCCTGTGAGATGATTAGAGAGTTTTAACTACTAGATCACGAATTAAAGTCACCTGAGTTTACCCAGTTGTGACACTATTTAGGTGATACGTAACGAAGTCTACGTATCACCTATTGATTTCGTTAAGATTTTTATTATTATTATTAGGTGATACGTACGAAGTCTACGTATCACCTATTGATTTCGTCAAGATTTTTATTATTATTAGGTGATACGTAAGAAGTCTATGTATCACCTATTGATTTCGTCAAGATTTTTCTTCTTATTATTATTATTCTTCCGCGAATTTGTTCGCAGGATATCTCAAGACTGAATAAAGCCATTGTCATGAAACTTTCAATGATGATAGATCTTAGTCTAACTTAGAACTGCGTGAATTTCAAAGACTCAGAATTAT